TAGCACCTTTGGGAATATGACACTTGTAATACAGAGGTAAGAGCAGGGTAAAGCTGTCATTCAGCATTTATCTGCTGACTTTCTGTGAAATACTATGCTTCTTTCCAAATAAAGAGCAAGGGGATGCAGCAGTGGTCTCCTGCTTTTAGGAAACTCTTTTTCTAATGACCTGGCATTATCAAGTTTGCCAAGCCTGACCTGGAGGCAGTCCACCCATGACCAAGGGATTCAGGAGTATGTGAGCCCGTACACCTGGTGCTGTCTTCCAAGAGGGTTCAACTGCAAATTCATGGGGAAGTTTGATGTTTAGCTACCCAAGAGAAGCACAAGTATTCACTGGGTGCCAGATAACCTACAATTCCTACCAAACTTCTGGGTCAGCCTTGATTTGTGTTATGTTGCTACCATTTACTTTAAAATTTCAGCATGGTATATGTGCCATCTACACCATAGGAACAGTTAATTAACGTGTGGAGGACTTCATTGCTAATGGTGCCCATCATGGGGATGCCAACGTCCTGGCCAAGGGGGTCACCCCCAGAGTTACCAGAGCAGCCTGTAGGGCTCAGCCCTGCACATAATCTCCCCAACTCTGTGTTGCTTGTGCCCAGGGTATCCATAAATCCCTTGCAGTTTTTCCTAAGGAAGCATAGCGGAGACCTGTATCAGACTCCAACATAGATACATTCATTCACTTTACCACCCAGAGCACTTCCCTCTTCCAGCTAATATATCCCTACACTTGCATAATTAAATGGGCTATTACATTGGTTTTCCCAGAAGTAAGTAACCATCTGCCCTAAAGCTGTGTCCAAGTCTTGCCTCTTACAAAACCCAAGGCTCACTTATGGATGCTTTAAAATCTGGGTTTACTGTTGATTTGCCATGTGTGTCTTCTATTCTCTTCACAAAGATTTCAAAGGTCACCAAGCCAAAACTCAGTCCCAGCTCAGAGCATCCTGTGCAATCCTCTCCCAAGCAGTCTCTGAAGCACATGTCCCAGCCCTACAAGGATGGCCCTGAGCAATCTCCTTCCCCCTCGGGGTCATTGATTGCTGTCTCCCCAACAAAACTCAGTGCCCTGATGCTTGTTTCACAGCAAGAGTCACTGACCAGCAGGATGCTGCCACTCCTGGGGCACAACCTGGCCAGGCTGCTAGTAGAGGATAGGACCAGAGAGTAAGAACCACAGAAGAATGTCTTCCTCCACTTCCAGTTCCTTGTTCTCTCTTGTTCCCGGGGCAGGAGGGAGTTTAGGACCCAGAGGAGAGCAGGTCCTGGACAGCTTAGTGGAAAGGAGAGAGAGTATAGAATCAATCTAAATGCCTGTGCTGTCCCCACTGGCACCTCTGCGTGGGAGCCGCTGTCCAAAGTGTGAGGAACTGGCGGGAGAGCATTGTGCAGAGGCAGTGGGGGAGGCCAAGGACAGGGGAGGGATTGGGTAAGGTCTCTGCCTTCTTAAGCCTCCTGCAGGGACCCATTCACCATGTTGGTGGGTGGTGGTACTGGGGTCATGAGGGACAGGTGTTACCAAATCTCTTAGAACTTCCTGATTCTCAAATTGGCATGCCCAATGCACAATAAGCCCAACGCTGAGACATTGGTGCTTGGAGATGAAGAAAGCTTTATTTGAATCAGCCAAGACAAGAAGGCGGAAGCATGGGTTCTCTCAAATCCGCAAGAGAAGAAAGCATGGGTTTTATAGAGCTAAGGGGTGTGGCAGGAGGAGTTTCGAGAAACAAAGGGGTAATCCGTGTTTCTTTCACTCCCAATAAGCCCCTGGGCAATCTGACTTCTGGGCGTCAACAGCAGCTGGGGGTTGGTTATCTGGTGATCCTTGGAGGCATTCTCTTTCCTCTGTAAAACAAGCTCATAAATCCTTGTGACCCTTGAGTTACCCCTCAGGTTAAACAGGGGAAGACCAAATTGTTGAGCAGTAACCCTCAGGTACCCAGCTTCATGGGGAAGGAGGCCTGCCCCTCCATGGCTGCGTCCGCACTCAGCCAGCACCCTGGACTCTGCACGGGCTGCTCCTACTCTGGGCCTTCCTGCTTCTGCTGCGGGGGTGGGGGGGTTGGGGGGGGTTATTATCACTTGGTCTTGTCATGGAAAGAGGATAGGAAGGGAAACTCTTTGCAGGAAAAAAATCCTTTCTCTCCCAGATTCACAGGCGCCTTACTCTTCACAATGTCTGACTTGATCCCTTGATTTCTCCAAGTTCATGGCCTTTCTTCTAAGTGGTCTCCTGGAGGGGTTTCAACAGTGGCCGTTCTTCCAGAGGCTCCCAGTTACTCCTTGAGGGAGGCATTCAGGTTCCCCACCCCCACCCCAGGTTACCAGCAGAGCGGCCACGTTAACCTCTATTCAAACAAAGGATTCCATCTATAGAAGCTCATTTGTTTCCCTCTCTGCAGCTGGCTGGCCAGCGTCTGGGAGTGGGAGCCTTCTCGATCACGTTTTTCTTAAACCTTTCTTTCATGTCCAGGAAATGACTAGATCGTTACAGTTAAAATGTCTGTTAGGGGCTGTCCCAGCAACCAGCTAACTCCTTGTATTTCCTGCTTTTTGTTCCATTAAAATACCAGAAACACTTCCCTTCAGCACTCCCTTTCTGGGGCTTGAGGGGAACCCAGAGGCTATCTCTAGCGCTGGGCCTCCCAGCAAGCCAGCGCTGTAACCCCACCACAGGGTCCTCAGACTCCCCACCCTCCACAGTAACAGGAAGCTTGGGGCAAGCTCCTTGGCTGTCCTACCACCACCCCACCACTCCCAGCACCCCTCCCCCACCCCCAGAATACCTACCCTCCATGCAGTCAGGGGTCAGAAGAGCCCTGGCTCTCTACCTTCCTAGCTGTGTGATCACCCACAAATCAGTTAAACTCTCTGGTTTGCAGAGATTAAACCAAGCACGTTTTGCAAATGGTACTGTAGGGGAGGAAGACATTTCCTCTTCCCAAATGGGGGTTCGTCTGGCCGGAGAACGAATTAAATTCACATGAGACAGAATAGCAAGAGAAAATTAAACAAAGCTTTATGAGGAACCATGGCCCGGGGCCTTTCTTCCCCGAAGGAAGAAAGGGCACCGAAGAAGTCGGGTGCACAGAGTGGTTATATAACCCCCAAACAGAGTGTTTCACATGTGATTGAAATGTCCCTCCCACAGTAGTCACAAGATTGCCCTGTTGGCACAGCCTTGATGGACACAGCAGGTAGTGGTCTGCTATCTCGGTGGGCTAGCAGGAGGCAAGTCTATTGTCTGGAGCTGGGCGGTCACAGGTGAGCGCAGCAATCAGTTCCTAGCCTAAGGAAAGATGCTTAATCCTTAAAGAAATGCCAACGTTGGGAGGGGGAGGGAAGTCAGTTATAGGAGGTTACCAGACAAGCACAATAAACAAATGCAGATTTAAGTCCTTGCCTTTGGTATTGATTAAGAGTTTCTAGAGAGAAGGTCATCTCCTTTCTTGTTCCTGGTACAGAGAGGGAGGCACCTTTTACAGATAGAGATTTACCTTACAAATGTAAACGTGTCCTAACAAAGGGCAAGTTCCATTCCTCAGAGCCTCCTTGCCTGTCCCAGTTTATCAAAAGCAATGAGCCTCAAATAATCCTGATGCCAAAGAGACATATCTTGGGGTGGCCAATTTCAGGTCCCCACAGTACTTAATAGACTTTAAAAGGCTACTGAGGGGCCAGCCCCGTGGCCCAGTGGTTAAGTTCATGCGCTCCCTTCAGCGGCCCAGGGTTTCACCGGTTCAGATCCTGAGCGTGGACCTGGCACTGCTCATCAGGCCATGCTAAGGCGGTGTCCCACATAGCATAACCAGAAGGACCTACAACTAGACTATACAACTATGTATTGGGGGCTTTGGGGAGAAGAAGAAAAAAGATTGTCAACAGATGTTAGCTCAGGTGGCAATCTTTAAGAAAAACCAAAAGGCTACTGAAATGTTAGCCTGCATCCTTTCTGAGAACATCCAGCTAGAGGGGAGCTTTTTAGAATTTTCCTTCAGAGCCCAGACTGTAAGCACCTACAGTGGCGCTGATAACACCCCTGGAGAAGGATCCCTGATAAGATAAAGGTGGGGCTTTTGTCATGTGTCCTCAAAGGACAATCCTAAAGGAAACTCAGTGCTGGACAGGCACTAGGTTGTCAGGAAACATCTGTCGGTTTCCTGATGGTTCTGGGTAACTGTGTGACCCCCGCCCACAGAAGCTTAACAAAGCATGTGAAACACCTACACCTGCCTCACACATGAGCAAAATTGACAGCGTCACCCGCAGCCCCCAAAGTTGTGGTTGCCCAGGGATGACAGCACAGAAAACCACCCCAGTTTCAGTCTAACTGCATCCTATGCTTTGTCCTTCCCAACCGGTGCCCCTCGGCCCTCTCTTTAGCCATGTCCCACTGAAGTGGTGACGGGCCAGTCTGTCCACAAAAGGTTAACCTTCAGGCTGTCATCCAGGTGATTGCTTACCTGGAGTCCAGACTTATATTTACTGGTACATAATTCTTTGCTTTGACAATTGTGTCTGGATGTTTCAACACTTGGCTGGCCCTGGAGGAACGTGTTTGACCATGTTTGGAAAAGTGACTTCAGTGCTTGTGGTGGTGATTGGCATGGTACCGAGGGCTGGCGATGTGGGCAACTTGAACTCAGCAGCTGATTTATTTTCTGTGGCTTCCTGCTGCTGCTGCCGTGTGTCCATAGGCACCAAGTAGTCAAGGAAGACACTGGGCCCGCGGCCTTCTGTCTGATAGGTGTGTGTAGGTGTGGAGGTAGTGTTTTTCTCTTAGAGACCCTTCTAGAAATAGCCAGGTTTTTTTTTTTTTTTTTTTTTTGAGGAATATTAGCCATGAGCTAACTACTGCCAATCCTCCCCTTTTTGCTGAGGAACACTGGCCCTAAGCTAACATCCATGCCCATCTTCCTCTACTTTATACGTGGGATGCCTACCACAGCATGGCTTTTTCCAAGCAGCGCCATGTCTGCAGCTGGGATCCGAACCGGTGAACCCCGGGCCCCCGAGAAGTGGAACGTGCGAACTTCACCGCTGTGCCACCAGGCCAGCCCCATTAGCCAGGTGTTTTACCAATGGTTCATGGTGGGGAAAGCTCTGATGCAGCGTTTTCACCTGGGACATTCCTTTGGGTTCAGCGTCTACTAGGTGTGAACGAAACGAGGACCCCTCTCCTGGTCTAACAGGCGATTCTAGCAAGCAAGCTGTGTGGGCTTAAAGTCAGTAATCCACGCTGTCCTGTGAAGGAGCCATGCAGGCCATCCTAAGCCTGTGTTAGAATGACCTTGGACCCCTTATCTCATGACTGAAGATGCAGCTCCACAGATCCACAACAGGAAGAGATAAAGGGTACCTCGCTCTCACAGTTCCCAGCTGCATTTCTTAGAGATGCAGGGAAAAAGTGACCTCTCTGGTCCTTGCCTCCTTCCACACATAGATAACACCATTACGAGCCTTGTTTGATGTATAACCAAAAAGCTCTTGTGCATGTTATCTTTAAAGCATGTGGCTATTAGATGTCTGAGTCCTTTCCTGCACGTCCACTGCTTTGTTGAAAGGCATCTAAGCTGCACTCAGATCTGCAGACCTCGGAGCAGTTCCTAAGAATGCTGTGTTGGACTGTTTCCTGGGACTCCAGTTCCTCATCTTGATTATCAAATAAACTCCTTTAATTAACCTTTACCCAGACTCTTCATTTCAGTTGACACAGGTTAACCTGAGACAAGCCTTGAGGGGAGTGTGGGCATAAACGAAGACCACCCACATGGGAACAAGCAGAGGCTGTTTACATGGAGCTTGCTATGGCGATGGAGTCGGCCACCGTGGCTTGCTTTCAGCAGACACTCAGAGACAGGTAGAGGAGTTGGAAAGCTTCATAGTGAAAAATACGAAAGGCTTCAGGTGTGTTTTCTGCTCTGATTGGAGGTTGCTGGCTTGGGAAGCTGGAAGTGGGCTGACTAGAAGCTAGACACTCTATGTGATAGGTTTAGCGAGCATATTTGGCTTCCTCAGGTTGGTCCTGAGGTGGACGCAGGGGCAAAATTCAGGGAAGTTTGTGACTATGGGCTGATTGCTATAGAAGTTGTGCTGTGGCTTCCTGGGCTGAGTGCTGCAGAGGCTGTGGGTCGGAGTTCAATTTTCATCTATGGAAACTGTTTATTTGTATAATCGGCCTCTCACGAGAGACTAAATATAAGAATCCTAGTTAGTCTGGATTACCTAATTTCATCCTGGAATGGTTAAACTGCTCCTCAGTAAAAATTTACACCCAAACAAAACAAGGCTGGAAACCGCTAGAATGCCCAGTTTTATAGAGTTAAGAAAATTAAGGTGTACCATACTGTGCAAAAATTTTAAAAAGATGTTTCTGAAGAGATTTTAATGACATTGGAAACGTTTACAAAGGTGGTGCAAAATGACAAACTTGATTCAAAAATCATACACACCACGTGGCTACAGGTATAAGCAGAGGTCAGTCAGAGGGTCTTCCTGGCCCTTAATTTGTAGGTAAGATGTACTCGAATACCCATCACAGGGGTGTAGACAGCCCCCTGCTCTCCCTGGGCTAACTTTGTGGGGATGTGCACGGTCTCTCTGTGAGCTCCTGCTTCCCTGGGTTATTTGAGCTCTGGAATCTCTCTCACCATCTCACCAGGCACATCACGCTGCCTGGGACCTGTGCCATATCAATCTAGTCGTGGAGCTCAGCCCTTTCCTTAATTTCAACAAAAGCTCCCTCACCCAAGGCCATTGGGTGGAGCTACATCCAGCCAAGCACACTGAAAACTGGATGTCATTCTCTCAGTTTCTCAGTCCCAGGCGTCTTCCACAGTCCTGGCTCCGTCTGCCACTGTCCTCTCACGTCTCCTCTTCTTTCTCTTCTGCCCTCTTTCTTCTCTGCTCCCACCCTCCAGAGGGAAAACAGATTCTTCCTGTTATCTTATGCCACCAATTCCTCTCTCTCCTGTCTCTACTTGAAATGCTGCTCTCCCTCAACATGTCCAAGGACCCTGTCAAAGCTTTAAAGTTAGCTTTGTCCTTTGTGAGGGTCCCCAGATGACACTCGCTCTGAGAGACAAGGCTCTTTTCCTCCCAGGCCCTGTCCGGGAGCAGAGGAGGGAGGGGGCACGGGTGGGTGGGTTTTCCAGTAGCAGAGAGTGGTTAGTGTATGAAAAGCTCCCAGCAAAGGCCCTAGAAATGTGATTGCCCTTGTTCTACCAAACAGCCCAAAGGGCCTCCTCCAGGTCCTCCGAGCTCTCCAGCTTCATCAGCACTTGCAGATCCCTGCGGCCAGCTCTGCAGATAACTCCTTTACTACTGGTTTTGGTGCAATTTCGACCCTCTGTTCTTAAAGGCTAGGACTTTTTCTCTCTGCTTTTTACCAAGTCATCTCAATCAGTGTCCCCTTTGTTTTTCTAATGTTTATCCAAGAAGTCCTTCTTTTGTAATCTCAGTATTCATTTTCTGTTGATCAGCTCTGAAGGCTTCAAGAAAGTTATGCTTTTAACCTTTACTGTCTATTTTTTCCCTTTTAAAAATGACGAGGATCCAAGCTGGAGATGAGCCATCTTTATGCTGGGGCTCAGACATGTCCGGGCTTGTCTAGAGGCGCAGTGGGAAGACCAGTCGGGAACCTATTTGTATGAGGGACCGAGGAGCCACCAGGGAAGGACTTTCTAAGAGAGAGAGGGAGAAATTGGCAGGCACAGGCTGCCACTGAGGATAATGCCCTTGACTGCTGGGGGAAGGAGCAGTTTTGAGTAATGGCTGGTGTATGCCTCCCAGATTGCTCCCCATCCAGCACCCTGTGGATGTGACTCAGTCCTAAGGATAGGGGGCTGGGATGATGGAGAGCTGCCGTAAGCACAGTCACACACAGTTTCTGTGAGATATTGGGGGTGCACAAACAGCACTATGGGGACAAGTGGAAGGGAGTGTGGATCAGGAATGCTCCTCAGTTCAAAGAGCCATTTGGAACCAGTGTAATAGGAGGAGCCTATCGATGCTGCCGGCTTCAGCTGGTCAATTCTCATCCTAGGAGACAACAGCCCAGTGAGGTGGCCTCGCAGAGAAGCACAGGCAACTTGAATGGGCAATGGTGGTGCCTTTGGGGAACAACTAAAGCTTCAGGGAGTGGCAGCAGCAGTGGCCTCAGTGCTGCAAACTGGCAGTGGAAGAGGAAGTTGGTAGGGAATCCAAGAGAAGTGTGAGATTTGGAAGCTAAGAAGACTTACTAGTGAAGACATCTAAGACACCCCTGAAGAGTCACCGAGTGTTTGAGGGGAAGCCTGAAGAACAACTGGGTTTCCAGGGATTTTTCTGGTAGTGGCAAAAGCCATACCTAGCTACCCTGTATTGAGTGTTTGACATGAATTATGACATTTAATTCTCATAACAATCCAAGAGGTAGGTAACATTAGCCTCATTTACCAAGGAGGAAGGACGAGGTCAGGGAGGGTAAAGAACTGAAATAACACACAGCTTATGAGACTTGAACATAAGTCTATTTGCTTCTTAAGTCAGTGCTCTCCCAGTAAAAGGTAGCATCTCTAAAGAGAATCGGAATTCAGTCAACAAATTCACCCAGCAAACATTCACGGCATGTCTACTACAGCCACACGCTGTCCTAGAGGCTCGCTGTACAGTTGTAAAGAAAATAAACACAATTTCTGCTCATATTAGGTTTAAAATACGAATGTTATTGAAATAATAGCTCTAATGTCGATTCCAGGCTGTTCAGACCTTGGACACTTGGATTACAGAAGGAAACCTGAATAAGTCGGAGGCTTGAGATAACCTGGAGTCTAATACATACATTACTCAGCCATGCTTGGCACCAGTTGCCAATGTCCCCCCCACCACTTGTCTGTACATATCTGCTCCATTACATTGACTTAGGAGAAAAAAATTGTTCACTTAACTTCTGTTCTCCAAAGAAAGAGAAGAACTTGTGCTGAAGAACAGTTAAGGACAGGGGAACCAGGATGCCTCACCCAAGGACAGAAATAGAGGACACAATGCTTTTGATGATTGCTCATGCTTATGCAAGAATGTGTTGCATTTAGAAAAGCATCTACCCATGTAGTTTATACACAAGCAAGTTCTCATCCACATCCCTTAGAACAGATGGGATACCAAGATAGGCAGGTCAAGAGCATTGTAAATATATTTATACAACTGACACTATGGGAATATTAGCAAGGGGGACCTGGTGAAAGTCAAGCTTAACACCATTGGTAGAAGCTTTCTACAGCCCAGTGTAAGAGGTGCAGGGTACAAGAAGTCATGACTTGACTCCTATTTTGACCAAACCCATGACAAGGGAAGTATAGCATAGTGGTTAAGAGTGTGAACTCTTGCGAAAAACTATTTGAGCTTGAATCCCTGTTATGCCACTTACTAGCTGTGGGACCTGGAATATGGGATTTAATTTCTCTTTGCTTCACTTTCCTCATCTTTAAAATAGAGATAATAATAAAAGCTACCTCACAAGATTATTATAAGGATTAGCAAAATATAAGTGTTAGCTGTTATTAATAGAGTAAGAGTCTTTGAATCACTGCTCATGATGAATACGACGCTATGCACTTACCAAATTCTATTTTAGCCTTCCTCTTTCAGGGCACAAAGGAAGATAATATATCCCATGGTTCCTTTCACTTACGGTTGGGTTTTAGCCCACTGGGAGTTGGTAGAAGTGATATAAGCCACCTACAGACTCAGGTCTTATAAACATCTTGCATGACACACCAGTTTTCTTTCCCCTGCTGCAGCAACCCTGGAAGCCACATGGTAAGATGGCAACATTCCAAGGTGGTGAGCCTCCATTGGCCTGGGTCCCCGGGAGATTAGATGGAGCAGAGTGGCCCCCCACCCTACGCTTATCCATGTTGAACTGTAGCCTGAGCAAGAAATAACTGCTTATTGTATCAAGAGACTGAGATTTAGAGGTTCGTTGTTACCACAGCATAACCTCACCTCTCCTGAAGAATTTATGAAAGTCGTATCATCGTTGCAGGCACTTCTTCCCAGCACCGTGGGCCTTCATATTCCAGAAAGACTTGGAAAAATTCGGTAAGTGCCTGGTCATCTGCCCATGTCCTAGGATTTGGCAGTTTCTCCATTTAAGTCCTTTAACTTCTTAAGAGTCTTTGTATACTATTGAAAACAATCCCTATTTCCTAAGGAATGATAAAACATCCCCCTTTCCTTCTCAATCTGGATCTCAGCAGAAAGTCTTGTCACTGTTTTTCCAAATGCCACCCTCATTCATCCTATTACACCCTGACTCATCAAGTTTCCTTCTGTCCTGACAGTCTGTCCAGAGCGTGGCCCAGCCTCCAAGAAATATAAAGTCTGCTTAAAATATTAATGTTTCCCTTTTCTAGAATTTTATTGCATTTATAACTAACATTGGCACTTAATAAAACGGGACCTCATTCGGGGGGCCTTGGTTTTTCCACTCCAGTGAGATTAAAGGCAGGGACCTTCGTTTAGATCCCCCCGGGGCCTAATGCAGCACTAGGCCTCGAGTAAATCGCCTAGAAAGATGTACTGAATTCAGTTTCTAGGCAATGTATTTAAGCTCGGGCTTGCGAACAGGTCTGTGGGTAAAGAAGGGTGGCTGCAAACACAACCACGCTCTGGCCTGGATGAATTAGCGCACTTTTCTCCGTGCTCATTAGGAAAGTGCGTATGTGTGTCGTAGGTTAGGGAGCTGGGGAGACAGTCCGGGAGTTGACACAACATTTATTTCTACTTCCTTATACATTGCTCAGTAAATACTGCTAAGTGCTTATCATAAGCTTATGTTTGTCCCGCCTCTACGCGTACGTAAGCCAAGACGGCTTCAGAGAACAGGAACCACATTTTTTACAGATCACATATTGACAGTTCCTTTATTTCAAACAAGACGCAGTGATAAGATCTTGCAATTGTGTAATTATTTAAAATACACAACTTAAGATATTTTCTAATTTATTGTCTCATTTGCTCTTTACAATAACCAAAGTTCCAATACTTGGTCAGGACTGATTCCATAAGCAAGTTCAGAAAGAGGTTTGAAAATGCCCCTTAGGGCTCTTTTGTGTTTCTGTGTCCCCAGCAACCATTTTCCTCACTTGAAAGTTTGATCTGGGTACAACTCAGGGCCCACTGCTAAGAGCTGGCACCTCACACGTGTGACAATCTCGGCCGGTGTTGTTTACAAGAGGAGGGCCGGCTTCCTGTTTGCTCAGCTACAGTGCTAGGCAAATGCAGAGTTGTTTGCATTCTTAAATTCACCTTGGGACAAGCAGAAAACCATCACTGACTAAGAACTCCTTACTCAAGGCATCACTTAAGGCCCCAGACACTGGGGAATTTAAGGATTCACAGTTCTTACAGCCAGTCTGAGCTGGAGCCGGAGCCCTGGAACCAAACCAATTACCTGCCCCCCAGGAAGCCGTCAAGTAGCGCTGGGGGTGGGGCAGGGGGAGCTCCGAGGTAAGCCAGCCTTCCCAGGCTCCGAAGGTCTGAAGGAAACTGGTCTTGAGCGAAGAAGGAGGGAGACCTGTCCTTCCCAGAGCTTTCCCCTTCCTTGGGCTCAGTGAGGAAGCCCCAGGCTGCCTTCCCTCCATCCCATCCAACCAATCCTTCCCCTCCTTCTCTCTCGATGGAAGGCCCTTCTTAGGGTGACCAACCATCTCAGTTTGCCTGAGACCAAGGAGGTTCCCAAGATGTTAGATCTTTAGTTTTTAAACCAGGACGGTCCTGGGCAAACCGGGATTAGTTGGTCACCCTAGGCCTGCTAGGGCTCTGTCCCCAGGTGCCTCTCTCTCTCTCTCTCTCTCTCTCTCTCTTCATGGTCTCCCCAGGGATTTCACTGACTCCATGGCTTCCACAGCCTTTGATGAGTAAGTCCTCGCTAGACCCCCACCTCCAGCTTCTCCTGAGCCAGAGCAGCACCTCCATCACGGGCCTCGTATTGCCATTTGCACGTCTAACTTTTAATCCTGCGGGCCCTAAACTGACTCCCCACCTCATTCCTCCACTCCACTAACCCTGGCCCACTCATCTCCCAGGGTTTCTGTTTTTGTTAACGCCACATCATTGTCCCAGTTGTTCAAGATTTATTTACTCACATTCATTAAGAATATGAACACTACTCTGTGCCAGATTCTATCCTAGTTTCTGGGGACTCAGCTGTGAGCAAAAGTCACTGCCTTCCTGGAGTGCATTCTGGTCAAAGGAGACAGAAAAGAAATATATACATAGCCGACGAGGGGTTGGTACTACGGAGAAGAATTAAGCACGTATAAGGAGTGCTAGGATGGGGTGGCAATAACAGATGGGCGGGCAGTTCATGGACACCTTTCTGATGTGATGCCATCTGAGCGGAAGCCTGAAGGAAGTGAGGAATGACCCAGGGGCTCTCTGGAGTAAGTGTCCCAAGCAGAGGACACAGTGAGTGTCAAGGCCAGTGTAGCCAGGCAGATGGGGCAAGGGAAAGAGTGCTAAGGGAGAAGTCAGTGACAAAGCGGGGGCCAGGTCCCGGAGGGCCTTGGATATGCAAACATTTCACTTTGATTCCTTTACCTTCGCATCTGTTGCCAAGCCAGGATAATCCCATCTCTGGCAGGTCTCTCCGTCCCATTTCTGTGGCTCCCACCTCGTGCAGATGGGCCCTACTCCTCATGTGAATTATTACACCGGCCTCCCGAGCAGTCTTTTTGCCTGTCGTCTCTCCCTGCACTAATGGTACCCCTGACTGCTGTAATCTTCTCGGAGTGCAGTTCTGATTGTCGTCATCATAAGATCGTTCCCATACATTTATGTAGTTCTGAATAAAAGCGTACTTAGAAAGAAGGGGGACGGACACAGAGGATGTGTTCCCACAACTTCCTTGCATGTCCTTGTCAGAAATAGATAGAACTGTCAAAAGTATGTTGTCAAACATGTCAGAGTTCTGTTTTTATGCCACAATGTAAAAATTGCAAATTTTTTTCATCAAAATAAATAGAAAGATAAATTAGTCAGAACCCCTTTGGTTGCTATTAACAGAAACCCAGTGCAAGCTGTCTCTAAAAAGGTAACATGTTAGCTCATGTAATTTAAAGCTTATCTTCAGGAATGGCTAGTTCCAGGTGCTCAGCAAGGGCAACAAGAAATCTATGTATCTCCACCTCTCAGACCTGCTTTTCTCTCTGTTCTTTATTTTCAGGCAGACTCTGCCCATGCTTCCACTATTGGCTTTGGCTCATGTCTTCTCAGCTTAGCAACTTCAGTGGAAAAAGAGTGCTTCTTTCAGCAAAAGTCCCAATGCTGACTCTCACTGACCCTCTCTGGACAAAGGACTCACTCCTCAACCAATCACTGTGACTGAGGTTTGCCACGCCTGGGTCATACAGCCCCACTGGAGCCAGAAGTGAGGAGGTGTGAGGTCCTCCCCACCCAAACTACATGACTAGGGAGTGGAAGATGGGTGGTTACCAAAGAACCACTTGGTACTGAGGATGGGGGAGGGATGGTGGGTAGACAAAAACAAGGCGTTCACAACCAAAGGCTAGGAGCGCCATGGTTGGTCAGCCCTAACTGCAAACACTTCTGAGTAATCAACAGGCTGCCATCCTCAAAAAGTGTTAGTCCTCTTATGCCTATATTTGATTGTTTCGGTGACACTCTTGCTTCAACATCTTCAATGGCTCTCCACTGCTCCCTTTGCCAGTCAGCTATCTTCCTTTTCTACGTCTACTGCACTCGCTTGACAACAGGGCCTGAGAACGGAAAGGGTCTTTGTCTCTATGAGCAGACTTTCAACCAACTGTAGCTGTTGTCATAGACAGCTATGGTGGAGGGCACAGGCAGGATTACTGACCCCTGAAATATCACAGGCAGGTATCTACTGAGACCCTGGTGGGAAAGAAGAGCCATTTGTGTAGACTGAAGACAATGCCCTACCCTGCTGACACGAAAGGAGGGACATTAACAATCAATAAGAGTTTAAGAACAATTGAGACATGTCATATTACTCTCTCCTGTCCTGCTTCCGCAGTATGTGTGTGCGCATATATTTATAAGCACGTATTATATATATAATCTCATTTAATACACAACTCCCTCATCAAGTAGGCGGGATTATTCTCATCTCACATACGGGGAAGGTGAGGCACAGAGATGTTGACCATGTCGCCTGCTGTTTCACACAGCTGATAAACGGAGGAGCGGGGAGGTGAACCCAGGGCTCTCGGACTCCTAAGTGCTGTAGTAACGTAAAACGTTGCTCGGTTTCTGCGAAGCGGCGCCAAGCGGCTCCTCACACAAGGCCATGCTCAGCGCTCAGGGCGCTGGAAACTCACCAGTCATGACTGACTCCCAGGCAAGTGGGTGGCCAGATTTCACCTCAGTCTGCTTCTTTAAGGGGCAGAACCAGGAGGGGTGGCTTGATAAGGGTACGCTCAGCAAAGCAGAGGAAGTGGTGGCGCTCAGACCCCCTGCCGCCCTCTCACCTCAGAGATCTTCCACCAGATAGATACCGCCCCCTCCGAAACGTGTCGCTGTGGTTGGAGCAGTGTCCGTGTGGGGACAGCCGGCCCCGCGCCCCCACGCCGCCCGCGCCCCTGCTCCGCTGCGGGCCGCCTGCCTCCTCCTGCCCCCGCGCTGATGGGGGGCCCCGCGCGCAGCCCCCTCGGCAACCCCAGAGCGCAGCGCGCCGGCCCTCCGCTGCGCCCTTGCAACCCCGAGTTCCCTCCAGCTCGGAAGCCCTGCCTCCGACCTGCTCCCACTGACCCCTGGAGGACTCCAGCCCAGGTCAGGAGGAGGCCCAGGGCCCTGGGAGGACCAGGAGGGCTTGAACTTTTCAGCAGAGGAGGCCAGGGGAGCGTGCGCCCCAGGGCGGCCTACAGGGTCATGAGCAGGGGGCCGAGGGAAGCAGCAGGTGGAGAATATGGGTACAGGGGTGGCGCATGCTTAAAGGGAGTGGGCCTGCCTGGTGCTCTGCCGGGGCGAAACGCTTCCTCAAACAGTCACCAGGAAGCTACTGGGCTGGACTCGAAGGAACGCGCAAGGCTAGGCCCTGTTGAATCTGACTCTAACACAGATTCTGGGCGCTGGGACGCGCCTCCGCCCCCGACCTGGCGGAGGAGGCCCACCGGCTGGGAGGCTCGCCTCAGCGGTTAGGTCACCAGGCGACTGAAGTAGGCCCAGAGGGAGCCCCTGGCTAAGGATGGCACAGAGTGGAGCTGAGTTAGTGATGTGGGAGCGTCCCGCAGGCAGATGTGGAATTAAAGCCTTGGACTTTAATGATCATGTAGGAGAGGTGAGACAGATCTTGGACCAAGGAAGGTAAATATTTATAATATTTTATCCAGTATATTCAGATTTTATGGTGAGAAAATACGTTAGAGTATTGAGTCCACCATATTGATAGAAAGAAGTCCAAATAGACTGCAACTTTTTTTTTTTAAGATTGGCCCTGAGCTACCATCTGTTGCCAATCTTCCTCTTCTTTTTTTCTCCCCAAGGCCTCAGTACATAGCTGAATATCCTAGTCTTAGGTCATTCTAGTTCTTCTATGTGGGATGCTACCACAGCATGGCTTGATGAGCCATGCCATGTCCGCACCCAGGATCCAAACCTGCAAACCCCGGGCCACCAAAGCAGAGCAGGTGAACTTAACCACTCGGCCACGGGGCCAGCCCCATAAAATATTTATTTTTAATTGCAAAAGAATGCATTCTTTTTTTTTTTTTAAGACTTTTTTTTTCCTTTTTCTCCCCAAAGTCCCCTGGTACATAGTTGTATATTCTTCGTTGTGGGTCCTTCTAGTTGTGGCATGTGGGACGCTGCCTCAGCGTGGTTTGATGAGCAGTGCCATGTCCGTGCCCAGGATTCGAACCAACGAAACATTGGGCTGCCTGTAGCGGAGCGGGTGAACTTAACCACTCAGCCACGGGGCCAGCCCCAAGAATGCATTCTTGATATCAAAATTGAAACATAATAGATAAAGCTAAAATTCATCTACCACGGATGCCCCAATCCTAGTCCTCTCTCCAGAGAATAACTAATTTATCAAAACTCTGTATCAGGATTATGTTCAGTAACATGTTTCAAAAAACAAACAAAATAATAACAACCAGAAAACTTCAAGTTTACTTATTTTTCAGGAAAATAAGCCCAAAGGTAGGCAGTCCAGGGCTAGTGTGGGTTTTAGGGTCCCAGGTTCCTAGCTGGACCTAGCTAGAATGGAAGAGTGGTAAAGAAGAGCTCATGTCTCTGCATTCGTTTGCTAGGGCTGCTGTGATCAAGTACCACAAAGTGCATGGCTTACACAAAAGAAATTTATTTATTATCTTGATTTTTCAGGCTACAAACCTGAAATCAAGTTGTCAGCAGGGTTGGTTCCTTCTGAGGACTGTTCCTGCCTCTCCCCTTGCTTCTGGTAATGTGCTGGCCATCTCTGATGTCCTTTAGCTTGTACAAACATCACCCACCGCACTCTCTGCCTTGATCTTCTCTGTGTGTGTGTGTTTGTGTCCAGACTTCCCCTTTTTATTACAGACACCATTCATGCTGGATTAAGGCCCACCCTAATGACCTTATCTTAACTAACTACCTTTGAAAGGACCCTATTTCCAAATGAGATTATATTCTGAGATACTGGGTTTGGGACATCAACATGTGAATTTTGGAGGGACCCTGTAGAAGTCTCTGACACCTCTTTATTTATATTCTTGTGGGTTTTTTTAAGATTTTTTTATTATTTCTTTTTTCCCCCCAAAGCCCCCCGGTACATAGTTGTGTATTATTAGTTGTGGGTCCTTCTAGTTGTGGCATGTGGGACGCTGCCTCAGCGTGGTTTGATGAGCAGTGCCATGTCCGCGCCCAGGATTCGAGCCAAGGAAACACTGGGCCGCCTGCAGCGGAGTGCGCAAACCTAACCCCTCGGCCACGGGGCCGGCCCTTTGTTTATATTTTTTGGCCAGAACTTAGTCTCGTGGCCACACTTAGCTGCAAGAGGTGCTCGGGAAGCTAGTTTTTAGCTGAGCACATGGCCATCCCCAGAAAAGTCTGTTTTCTGTTGCAGAAAAGGAGGGGAAAATGGATATCAAGACAATAACTGGCAGCCTGCCTTGGAACGTAACCTACCAGCCATTTTTGTGTGTGTCAAAAACATCTCTACACACCTTTCAGTGGGCACTCGGGTGTAGGATTCTTCATCCAGACGGCTTCACCTCTCACTGAGCACCCACTAGGAGCCAGGCCCTGCCTAGGGCTTCACGTCTTTACCCACAATCCTCAAAGCACCCTGTGGACAGAGGTGGCTTAAATTATGCCCTCTTCCCTCACTTGCACAAGGCCTTTTCAAGGCCACACTCCTAATTTTGGATTTGAAACTTTGTATTCTTTTTCTTTAAAAGGATCCCTAAAGTTATGCAAACGTCCGATCCTGAATCTGTCCCTACCTACAAGGTAGGTCTTATTATCCTCATTTTATAGTTGAGGAACTGGATGCACAGAGAGGGCAAGTAGTTTGTCTGGAGTCACAGAGCCGATAGGGAAGTTGAGTTTTAAACCAAGGTCTCTCTAATACCAAAATTCAGGCCATTTCTCCTGTGCCTTGCCTGCCAATGGATGCTGAAAGCACCCCAGGATGCTTTCTCCACTGCAGAGCCTCAGACACAGCCCCATCTGCATGTTTGGATTCCCTGAGGGTTGGTTGCTGGCCGGGCTGGCTGAGGCTGCTGCTCAGGCAAATCCTCTCCTGTAAGGAGAAAACTTCTCGTGTGGAAGAACCGGAGCGGGGCTCCGTGCTCGGGGAGCACACTTGTGTTAGTTTCCTGTGGCTGCTGTAACAAAATACCACAAACTGACTGGCTTAGAACCTCCAAAATGTATTCCCTCAGTTCTCGATGTCTGAAAGCAAAGTGTCTTCCAGGCCACACTCCCTCCCCAGGCTCCAGTGGATGGTCCTTCCTTGCCTCTTCCAGCTTCTGGAGGCCCTGGACTCCCTTGGCTTGTGGCTGCCTCACTCAGCTTCAGTCTTCACACGGACCTCGCCTCTATCTCTATTTTCCCCTTTTGTCTTTTTTTTTTTTTTTTTTTGAGGAAGATTAGCCCTGAGCTAACATCTGCTGCCAATCCTCCTCTTTTTGCTGAGGAAGACTGGCCCTGAGCTAACATCTGTGCCCACCTTCCTCTACTTTATATGTGGGATGTCTGCCACAGCATGGCTTGCCAAGCGGTGCATAGGTCCATACCCAGGATCTGAACCGGTGAACCCCGGGCCGCTGCAGCAGAACGTGCGAACTTAACTGCTGCACTACCGGGCCGGACCCTCCTTTTGTGTCTTATAGGCCCATTTTGTGTTGGATTTAGGGCCCAATCAGATAATCCAGGATGATCTCATCTCAAGATCTTTCACTTCATTACATCTACAAAGACCCTTTTTCCAAGGAAGGTCACATTCCCAGGTTCTGGGATACGGACATATCTTTTGGGGGCCACCATTCAACCCACTACACTCTTCATCCCAGAGCAGCAGATAATCAGATATCTTTCCCAGGACCAGGGGAACGGGTAGGAAAATGTGGCGATACACACTATCCTTCTGGTCTATTTTAATTAGCAATGGCAAAAGGGACCATGGTGGAACCGTGAGGAAAGTGCCACTTACTCCAGGAAAGCATAAGTGGACCCAGTTGCCCGGGGTCTGCTTAAAGTTAGAGAAACTCTGAAGGTTCTGCCAAATGTGGGCAGGTGGGGCCAGGCTTTTTCAGTAGAATGTTAAGTAAGCTATGCTGGTGTGTTCATCTGCGTTTACTATTCACCTTAGAGAGGTTCCCTCTGAAATGAATTTTAAATTCAGAAGCGAAGTCAGGAGGGGCACAGGAAGACAGAGGGGTGAGAGTAACATTCCAATTTATCAAGCTGTGGCCTCACTTCTTGCTTAAAGAGCAAGGTGTTGGCTAGCGGTAGTGGTGAGAGTTCCTGGTGCCAGAGTTTGGAGGTGGGAGAAAGAAATAGTTTCAGACTTGTACCTACTGTCATGTCTTTAACGGATTTGAATTCAGTTTTCAGCAAGTATTACTGTAGCGTACAGGATGCACCAGGCAGGCCTTATTTTCCTCAGACCTTACAACCACCTAGGTATTATCACTTTCTCCACCGTCCAGATGAGATGCTGAGATTCAGAGAGATGAAGGGGCCTGCCCAAGATCACACAGCTGTAAGTAGCTGAAGGATGAGTTTAAAAAGTGTTTTAATTTGATTCTTTTGACTCTCACTCGGTGCTCTCTCCGCCATAGCTCAAGAGATGAACATTCCTTTCCTATGAACATTCCTTTCCTACTTGCTGGCTCTCATCCTGGTGAGGGAGTAGAGATGGGAGCAGGCCCATCTCCTACCCACCAGAGCTTGTGCTCCCGCCCATCTGAAAGGAGAGCCTCTGCAGCAGGAGGCACGCAATCAGCATTTCTGTCGGCCTCCAGTATGGGTGGGAGAAGCTGCCTAATTAAAATCTGCAGCGTGCCTAGAAGCCTCCACAGCTGACAGAGTTGTTTCCCGTGCGTTCTCAGCGCCCGATGATACATATTCTTCATGTTTATGTGGTGCGATACGCTGTGCTCTGTGAGCATGAAGTATTAGTGAGCCAATTTCTCCATCCACGCGGCTCCAGAGCAACCGGAAGGCATCTCTGTTCTAATTTATGAGGGACCAGCATGTGCAATCAATAGGTGCCCCACAGGTTATTAAAGAAGAGAAAGATGGCCCAGGCAGCCCTGTTTACTAACAGGGAAATGGCCTCCTGGCAGCTTCTGGCACGTGGCCTGCGAGAGATTTACATTTCTTTTTCAGCGCAGAAACAGGAGCCTTCCCTTTTCATCTCAGCCCTAAGCCTGAGAGCTGGGGGCTGGTGGAGGCACAGTCTGAAAGCATCCTTTCCAGCAACCCCAGAGCGGAGGCCAGGGGTAGGGGTCTGTAGGTGGGGGTCAGCCCCAAGCTTGAAGAAGTCCCTTTACGAGTTGAGGTCCTGGAGAACACTAGCATCCCAGGAAGGGGTCGGGGGACTGCTGAGACGTGGGGAGTCGGCGTGAGGGGATGGGTCAGGCCACATGGCAAAAAGAAATCGGCAACTCCGGCCAGGCTGCCGGAGGGGAGGTGGTCCGTGGTCAGCCTTGCCCGGCTCTGGAGAAACTCCTCTGTTTGCTTCTTTTGCCTCCTCTCCTTGTCTTGGGTCCTGTGATTTCAGCAGTCTGCAGTTCTTTTGCAGTTTTCTTAACAGTTCTGGAGGAAGAGGGCAGGTTGGGTTTAAAGACAGAGCAGTAATGTTTTTGGCTTATTTGGGTAAAGGGGAAAGAAGTGTCTCCTGCAGTCCACTTTCTGGAAGGCAGAATGGTGTGATGTAGGGGTTCTCAAACTTTTTAGGCTCAGGACCCCTTTACATTCTCAAAATTTGTGTAGGTTATGTCTATTAGAAAATCTAAAATATTTATTAATTAATTAAAATATAACAATAATAGAGGCTGGCCCCATGGCCTAGTGGTTAAGTTCAGCACACTCTGCTTTGGCGGCCTGGGTTTGGTTCCTGGGTGTGGACCTACCCCACTCAGTGGCAACCGCGCTAAGGTGGCAGCCCACATGCAAAAAAGTAGAGAAAAACTGGCACAGATGTTAGCTCAAGGCGATCTTCCTAAGCAAAAAATAAATAAAGGAATGAAAACAGCAATAATAAACCCATTACATGTTAAAATAAATAACACATTTTCATTTTTAAAAAACCCCATACCTTTCAAAACAAAAAATGTTAGAAGAGTGACATTATTTTACATTTTTGCAAATGTTTTAAAGCAGGATATTTATTTGTTTATTTATTTTTATTGAGGTAACATTGGTTTATAACATTGTATCGATTTTTGTAGATTTTTTAAGTGTCTGGATTAATAGAAAGTGGCTGGATTCTCATAGTTGCTTCTGCAGCCAATGTGCTCAATATATTGTTTTGGTTGAAGTATATGAAGAAAATCCAGCTTTACACAGATATGTAGCTGGGAAAAGAGTGTTTAATAGCCTTTTTAGATAATTGTGGATATTCTTTTTGATACTGTACCGAAACATAACAAGTTTTTTAAAGGTTAATTGCCGTATGGAATGTGAAAGCATATCAGTGAACTTTTTGTGTTCTGCTGCATTAAAATCCATTGGTTTCTTGTGCCCTTTGACTGGGTCTTTTACCCATATACGATTTTGTAATACCGTGCATGGGTCATTGGAAAACACTGGTTTACTGAGTTATGCAGATATTCCAAATGTTGACACATTTCACTATACAATGTCAAAACAAAATCACATTCGTGAATATCATTGTCGTTCTCATTAGAAAAGTCCTTACGTACTGGGAAACTCAACCTCCACAACAGCAGAGCCAAGTTTTCCGAAACTCTAGTTTCACTTGGAAACTCAAATTTTATCATTGGCAGCAAATACTATCAGTTGTTTTCCTTGAAGTGACAAGCTCCCTTTGTTCATTTTGAGAAAATGTCTGCCAAATACCCGGTCTAAAAAAGCATTCTTTGTCATTTGGTATTTCAAGCAAAAAAAAAAGAAAAGTTTCATGGAAAAATGGCTGGTTCAGCTCATGGCTCTATGGCCTGAGTACTTTTCCTAGAACTAAGCATCATGCTTCAGAAGCCAGTCAAAGTACTGCATATTCCCCAATTTGTTTTACAGACTGTTTTGAAAACTGTCAATATTTAATAAGATTACTCATTTTTACTGCTTCATCGGGACATTCTTAAATGAAACAGGCATTCGTTTTTACTGCAAGTGTGGCAATGGCGGCTGGCGCGGCTTGGGGCCCTCCTTGATGCATGCTCAGATGCTAGGCATCTTACCCACCACTGCTTTTTGCACCTTTAGGACAAATATCGACCCCGTGCAAAAGGCAAAAAAATCATAGTATTATTATGAACATCGTTTTAATTTCATGAGCACCTTAGAAGTGTCGCAGGGGTCTTTGGGGGTCTATGCACCACACTTTTAGAACAGCTGGTATAGTAGATGCAACAAATGACGAAATGTCAGAGACTCCTTAGCCCAGCTTTGCCTCGGGCCGGCTCTGCCTTCTGCAAGTCATTTCACCCCCCTGTCTCGGTTTCCGTATTTGTAACTTAAGCAGGTTGGATTACATGATCTCTGTCATCTCTCTGTCGCCTTAGGAGCATTGTGAGACACTGAACAATCTTTATCGTTGGCTTTTTAGCATTATTATTGCCTGTTTGTTTCTAACATGGCTGGCTCTTTTGGGTGCGCTGTTGTCAGGTTATATAGGCACCCATTCTCTTCCCATCCCTTCACAGATGGGAGGGAGCTGGCCCTCCCAGAGCGGCTGTTTTACTGGAGAGGATGGACGGAATACTCCACCTCTGCTATGGGGAGAAACTTGGACATCAGAGGTACCCTATTTGAACATAGTACCATTTGTCCTGAATAGTTCGGAGTGGGGGGCATTTTCAGTTCATAGAAGGGACTCTGTCATGAAATCTAGGCCAGGAAAATAGGGGCCTAGTCACAATAATAAGAGAAATATGCATTTTTTCATGAAAAGTAAAGAAGCCCAGATTGTGATGCTTTCTGAAGAAATCTGCATTTTGGGGTGGTGATTTACATTTGCCTCAGATGGAAAGAGGCCAGGCTTCCCCTGCTGCTCCTCCTTTGCCCTCATCATGTACTAGAGTTTACTGCTTCCCCTGCAGAGCCTGCAGACTTGAGCTAAGGGAAAATGCACTGAGACCCAGTTGGGGCCCGAGGGATGGGATTTGCAGGTCACAAGAAGCATGGGTGCTGGCGCTGCCTTATCCTGGGGGAGGAAGTGGCATGTGCCTGAGGTAGTGGTTGTGTCACCTGACGGGACATCCATAAGGGAGGAGTGTGGAGAAAAGGACAACGTTCACATGAGATATCACGCACAAGATGACACACACAAATATATTCCCCTTTATGAATTTTATAAAAAACAAAACCTAGCTAAACAAAAGTACTACTGGGGCCGGCCCCATGGCTGAGTGGTTAAGTTCACATACTCCGTTTCAGTGGCCTGAGGTTTGCCAGTTTGGATCCTGGTTGTGGACCTAGCACCGCTCATAAAGCCATGCTGAGGCAGCATCCCACACAGAAGAACTAGAAAGACGTACAACGAAGGTATACACCTATGTACTGGGGAGCTTTGGGGAGGAAAAAAAAAAGAAGTTTGGCAAACAGATGTTAGCTCAGGGCCAATCTTCCTCACCAGAAAACAACAGCAACAAAAACTTCATTTCATGTCTACTGCCTTTAAAAAAAATTTTTTTTTTATTATTATTATTATTTTTTTTTTGGAGGAAGATTAGCCCTCAGCTAACTACTGCCAGTCCTCCTCTTTTTTTTTTTTTGCTGAGGAAGCCTGGCTCTGAGCTAACATCCGTGCCCATCTTCCTCTAGTTTATACGTGGGGTGCCTACCACAGCATGGCTGCCAAGCAGTGCCATGTCCGCACCCGGGATCCGAACCAGCGAACCCCGGGCCGCCGAGAAGCGGAACGTGCGAACTTAACCGCTGCGCCACCGGGCCGGCCCCTAAAAAAATTTTTTTTAAAAAGTAGAACTGCTTGTTTCCCCCACCTTTGTAAAGAAGTACTTGAGCCCTTCAAAAAAAAGAATGACATGAGCCACTCTCAAAGTCCAATATGCATTTGGTCTGGAGAAGATAGGTGATCAATGTGGCAGAAGCTTTTAACACTGACCTGTACCTACCCACGTCGCCAGGTTACCGGATGCTCTGATTCCTCTGTAAAACCCTCTGATGCCCACGGCATCCCAGATCCTCAAGGGGTAGAGACGCTCTCAGGTAATTCTGCTCCCACAAACTGAGCCGAGTACTCACCAGGGGTCAGTGCTGTTTGTTCCCAAACCCATTTCTGCCCATTGTACTTGCAATTCTGACTATGTAATTTAATTATTGTGAAAAGCAATGAAATGTGAGTGTAAAAAGGGTTCTTCTTCCTAGGAAAACTGATAAGGACAAGTCACACAAAAAAATTGCTATTGAATTGGCATGGGAAAGACGTGGAAAAGATTGGGGGAAAAAATCACAAACATCTTAAGATAATTCTGGACTCAGATTGCCTGTGTCTTTAAGTTCTCGCTCTATCTTAAAGAAAGCCAAACTGAAATTTATAGGAGATTCCAATAGAATGTAAACTCCATGAATGCAGAGACTTTGTGTTGGTCACTGCTGTATCCCCAGCACTTAGAATATGTCTGGCACATAGTAGGAATGCAATAAACATATGTAAAATAAGTGATTGTGGGCTAACACAAGAGGGAGAAAGCAGGACTCCGATTGATAGAAGCCTGCTCCAAGAAAATGCCTTGATCCTACCCTAAAAAAATGGCGCCTGAACATAACCTGTATAGGCTTTCAGTTAAAATAAGATGTTTAAGGTATGTTTCTCATGGTTACCACTTTGAACAATATTTTTAATTAATGGACCATCTGCTGTCCTGATCGCATCGGAGAGGAGGGCTGTGCCTGTATTCGCAAGCAGGGAAGTGCCTTGGTTGTCTAACAGGTACTGCCCTCCCCATGGAGGGGTGCTAGACCAGACTGGGAAGGCCCTCCCAGATCAGGGGACCTTCATGCAGACTCCCCTGATCTCCGCTCTCCAGAAGGTAGTTAGAAAACCTGCTCTGGTTCAGAAAGGAGACTTGACAGGAGGCAGACTGCATCTCTGGGTAGGTGTTGGTCCACCAGACACAGGCCAGGTGAGAAGACATCTCTGACCCAGTAAGCCTTAGTGAGGACGTATGAGGGTAACAGATGCTTCCCCCGTATGTTTGAGATTCTTTCAGTTTGGACTCGGGATCTGGGTTCAAACTTCTATGTATTAATTTATGGCCTTGAACTAGCTAGAACTTCCCAACTCATGGGCAGAGAATGGGTTACAGGTATGCTGAGAGATTGACCTTCTCAGTGCTTGGAGTAGCTGGGCACGGCCTGGCCAGCCAGAATCTCTGGGCTCTTCATCTCTGGCACCAGCAGCCTCAGCCTTTTTCCATAGTGAGATAGATGATAGAGTAGATAGATACATAGATAGATGATAGAAAGATATTATATGTATGTATGTATATGTGTATAATTATGCATGTATACATATTTTATAGATATATTTTTAATATACATGTTACTTTTTTCAATTTCCTATGTGTATCATGATATGAAAAAGGCTGGAAGCGCTAAGAGTCGCAGCCTTAGCTCCTCAGCCAGTAGATCCTGTGCTGCCTTTGTGAACAGGTTGTTGAGAGAGTCACATGAGACGCAGGTGTGAAACGCTTTGAAAAGTGCTGATGGTCATGAACAGGAGGCACCGTGACAGCCCACGTGCCTGGTGTCAGCCCAGAGCACAAGAGGAGTTTGAGCCCCTTTCTCCAGCCCTAGTTTCCTCACCCGATTCCTGAATCAACAGAGAAACAAGAAGAAGGAAAGGAAAGAAAAGAAAATGCTGGCATACAGAGGTCAAAACATTACCTTTATTTCTGCTAAGTCTGATATTAGCAAGTGTAACTGTAGGCACGTGAGCTTCCTAACACTGAACTCCAATCTTAGGCCAATCTACACAGCCAGTCACAGGCAACTCGGGAAAACCATATTCCTCCCCGGCAGGGGAAGCTCGTCCCTGGAATTGCAGAGCAGAAAACATGCTCCCTGTGGGCAACTGACTCCCAAAAGAAAGAGAAGAGGAGAGGACTGGCCCGTGCACGCAAAGGCTCTTCTTCCAAACTTACCAGTCAGATGTGTCACTCCCCCACCCAGGGAAGGAGTGTGTGAAGGGACGGAGGGAGGCAGGAGTGTTGTCCTAACAGAGCTGCTCCCCTGTGGAAGAGTGCACATCGGACACACCCTCTTGAAATCTAAGAGGCTGTGGTCTGCTTCATCTGCTGTTTCCTGGCAAACGTGGTCATGCAGGCGCTGAGCTTTTGCTGCACTACCAGCAGAAGCCCCAGTGCCCTGTCACTGGCTTCCTGAGTGCAGAGAAGCAGGAAGTAGAGCCTCCATTTTTGCCCAGGCAGATCAAGTGGGTACGATCTGGCCCTGGAGGTAGTTTCCTGATCCCCGGACGTAGGTAAAGTGGTGTAGTTCTGGAGCCACACTTACTGTGGTGGCTTCCTGATTCCCCCAGCTTCTTGCTTGTGACACAAGTAGCAGCCACCCCAGCTGACATTTCTGCTGTGTTCCGCTGGTTGCTGCTGGAGGCGTAGCCTAGGACCTGCTCTACTAGCCCATCCATGAATTTTTAAGCCCTTCATTTCCTAAATTAAATCTTTTTCTGCTTAATGTTCAAGTGGTATCTGTTATCTGAAACATAACAATGATTGAGGAACATTTTATCAGTTTTAGCCTCTCCCAGAAACCTTCCCCCTTCTCCCCTTCCCTCATTCCTGCACCCGATTTTCATTTCTTACAGGGTCATATGCCTCTACCCACAACTGTCACCGGCCCAGGGAACACAAGTCCACATTTGGATTAGACTAATCACCAAATCAATCACCAGTGTGGAATGAGAAGGATTCCACTTTTCTAGACCTATATTTTCCCACCTAGCACCTGGGTTCTACTTATCCTTTGTTTTGGGGTCCAGTGCTTAGATCTTAGAGAGAAATCTTCAAAACACAAAGGCCAACCTTCTTCTAAGCTACCTCTCCAGACTCCTGGGTTCTTCCCTACTTGTCATCTAAGCTGTTTGAGAGCACCCTTCTCTTGAGCTACACGATAAGTACCTATTGAACTGGGTTGATGTAATTTCCAAGTCTGGCAATTTCAGAGGCAGCCCTGGGTTACCCACGAAGAAGCTGCTATTTATAGAGAGCAGACCACAGGGCAATTAACCAAAGTCATAGGCTCTTCAAGTCCACAGCTTGAAATGGTGGCAGGAAATTCAGGTGGAACTCTCCGCTAGCCCCTTTTCTCCAACTCATTACTTGAAGAAGAGCACAGACCCCTGATGTCCTTGAGGTAAGGAGGGTGACAACTTTCCCACAGCCACTGGGCTTTTTTTCCTCAAGTAATCAAACCTCTCCTCCTGCCGCTCTCTGACAGCGACGACATTTCTGAGTATTGTAGTGGTTTTGGTTAAACTATCTTTCCTCTTGGAGATTCAGGTCAAATCAGTGAGTATATACTGAGTATCCACTTCATGCAAAGGACACTTGGGGCTGTGGAGAACACACCTCGGTTCTTAACATCAAGTGGTTGGGGCAGGTGTCATTAGATGGACACCTAAAACTTGTATTTCGGATTCATTTGAATGTGTGTGTATGGGAAGACAGGAAGGAAGACAAGAGACTTGCTGGTCATGATCCCTTTAGGATCCTCTCTGCTGGTAAGGCAGGATTGTGTTTATTTCAGTCGTTTTCTTTAATAGTTAACACAGTTGAACTATAAACTCATAAAGGCAGGGACTTGATAACATCAGTCACCTGCGTATTTGCAGTTGCCCAGCCATTTCAGATGCCTGACAAGCACTACTGGATTCAGGAAAGAAGGAAGGACGGTGACGCAGCCCAAGAGGAAGGACTCAGTCCACGGTCTAGATGGGGACAGTTTGACATTCGCCTGCCTGCTCTCCCTTGACCGATGATCTCTCCTCTCCTACTTTCAGCCATGCTCAGCCTGCATGTCATCAGTAGCTCCACTCACATTGAAAATCCTTTAAGGATGTCCCAACTGTGAAAATAAATTCTTGGAAAAACAGAAGAAAAAGGCAAATTGAAGAAGAGATAAAAATTCAAAATTCAAAATTCTTTAAGCCAATGTGAGGTTGTTAAAGGCACATCACATGATGAGCTCTCAGCCTGAGGCATGGCAGTCAGTTTGTGCACATGATAAAACCTCTCAGGATCAATGACGGGGCCCTGTTAATATCCCAGTATGTGGCCAAGGTCCTATTCATGTAGTGTAGGATAAATGGTCCCTAAATATTTATGTGCTGAATTGTATCCCCCAAAAGTCATATGTAGAAGTCCTAACTTCAATGTATGAATTTTCTCAGACATCTGAGTGACCTCAAAATGTAACGATATTTGGAGATTTTTTTTTTTTTTGAGGAAGATTAGCCCTGAGCTAACATCTACTGCCAATCCTCTTCTTTTTGCTAAGGAAGACTGGCCCTGAGCTAAGATCCATGCCCATCTTCCTCTACTCTATACATGGGACGCCTGCTACAGCATGGCTTGCCAAGCAGTGCCATGTCTGCACCCAGGATCTGAACCGGTGAACCCCGGGCCGCCGAAGTAGAACATGCGAACTTAATCGCTGTGCCACCGGGCTGGCCCCTGGAGATGTGTTTAAAGAGGTGATTAAGTTAAAATGAGGCCATTAGGATGGGCCCTCATTCAGTCTGACCGGTGTCCTTGTAAGAAAAGGACATTTGAACACACAGACACCAGACATGTGCACTCACAGGAAAGACCCCGTGAGCACACAGGGAGAAGGCGGTCACCTGCAAGACAAGGAGAGAGGCCTCAGAAGAAACCAAACCTGCCCATGCCTTCATCTTGGACTTCCAGCCTCCAGAACTGTGAGAAAATAAATTTCTGTTAAGTCCCCCAGCTTGTGATATTTTGTGATGGCAGCCCTACAGACTAATATAACATTTATGACAGAGTTCTTCATTGTGGTGTTACCACAAAGATATGTTTGTGCAACACGTTCATGGGCTCACAGGGCACTGGGTAACTGGGTTGACTTATAAAGCTAACCGATAACACAGGAGATCAGGTTTTGCTAGAAGGAAGCAATTGGTAAGACTTGATAAAGTCTCAGGAAATTGTATGCTCCTTGACACCTGTAGCTAAATTTTCTTACCCCTAAAAGTGATTCTTTTAAATGTTTCCTTTTATCTTTTCGCTCCCATATCCTCTTCTCTCCCCACTTTGCCACCCTTCTGCTCTTCCCTATCAACCACACCCCCGACCACCGCCACGTCCACCTGCCCTCCAGCAGGCACTGACATCCAGTTCTGCCTTTGCTAGATAAAAAATAAAATGGCTGTTTTGTTTTGTCTGTTTCATAAGACGTTAAGCAGATTTCCTCAACCAACAGTCGAGAGCAAGTTTAAAATCCTGTCTGTGAGGGTAAGGTTTTCAACTTGGCCTCACGTCGGTTGGGAAGATGGGCTCAGAAAAGCACCCAGTCATCCTGGTATCAGGGGGGGTTTCTATTATGGAGAAAAGCACGTATAAGGTGTGGTTGGGAGTCCACTGCCTCTCCAGGCAAAGCGGCAAGTGCGGGCAGCTCTGGGGAGGACCACCTATCTGAGAGGAGCAAGGAGAGGGTCTCTGAGGCTCGGGGCCCAGGGAAGCCCCCAGCCAGTGTCTGCAGGAGTCTCTCTCCTCCTGTGGGGGCCATAGTGTCAGCTCCTTCATATCAGGCAGTGGACCAGGTCAGTCACTTTACTGTTCTGCGTCTGAAGGGTAAAAAATTCCGTTTCCTACTGTAAGATAAGAAGATTAGACTGGATTAGTCATTTGCAATTGTTTTTAACTGTGAAAAGAACTTTACTCAAACAAAATCTTACACATAAGTTCATATTGAAAACAACCAACCCTATTGCTGGCCTAGCTTGGGGCAGAGCCCCACGGCTCTCACCTCCTCCTCCTCCAGGTGGCAACCGGGCACACCCAGCGGATGCCCTTGGCTGAAACACGGTGAGAATCACAAGATTTGATTATCTCTAAGGAGGGTGTGCAGAGAAATGTTGACGACGGGCTTGGCGAGGAGGGCGCTGCTTTGTAGTGTTGGCTGCTTCCTGTCGTGTAAATACTACCCCCATAGCCACTTTCAAGCTGCCCATGTCACGCTGCTGAGTGCGGAGTTGGGTATGCAATAGCATACCGTGTGGGGAAGGAATTATGAAGTATGAGTTTTGAATATTTATTACCTTTGTTTTTAATATAATTTATTTAATTGTAAGTTTCTATAATTCAGTCTTTGATAATGGCTGTGTTTAACAATTGGCTTGGAAAATTTAACAATTGGTTCTTACAAGCTGGTATGAGTCAGCTTCAGGAGACCACTATCTGGGATCCTTTTTGCACCCACATTGTAAACGTTTATACTAAGCATCAGCCTTTTGAAGCTGGGAAGGGCCACGAGGAATAATCCTAGGGATTTTAGAAGTGTGCTCAAGAGGGAAAAAAAAAAGACAAAACATGCTTTCTGTGTAATATCCAGTACAGAACACAGAACTAAAAAATAGGTGGCCAGCCAGTGACTGACCCAAAGACCCAGCGAGAAAATGACCCCACCCGCGCTCTATCGGCTCTGTACTTTGAGTTATATTTTCAGTCAGTTGTGGGTGGGTTTATACCCACCCAACACATTCTATCCTCCAGCCTTCCATGGGGCAGGGGGCACCAACTGTGGCTACAAGGTATCAGCAATGCACTCCGTTACTGGGGTCTTTTTAGAGAGCCTACAACAGGGAATTCATCTGATGACCCAAGCTGATCACAAGTGACAACCCAGGCATGCCAAGAGGCCTACATGGGCTCCAGCTAGGCCTCCAGGCAGCTGTGATCACACTGCCTTGGGTGGGTACGATCTTACTGTGTCTTATCACGCCTCCTGGTTACTCTCTCCCTGCGGGTGGGATCAGGGTTTAATTTACATTTTTGTCCTTCCATTTTTCCCAGAGTCTTTGAAAATAGCAAGGGTGTTCAATAGCCAAGTAGTTAGGAACCTGGGTTCTGAACCTGATTCTTGGAACCAAAAATTCTAGTTTTGTCACTTACTAGTTGTGTGACCGTGGGCAAGCTGTTTAACTTCTCTGTATCTCAATTTCATCCTTGATAAAATGTGGATGATACTAGTACCTACTTCATAGCATTATTGGGAGGATTAAGTGAGTTTCATACATGTAAAGTACTTAGTACAATGCTTGGCACATAGAATATGCAATTTAAATGTTAGCTATTCTTATATTATTATTACATATAATATATGGGTATTATGTACTACTAGTATTATGTGATGGATGCATGAACACAGGTGAGCAAATGCAGGAGAAAGAAGGGCCCGAATGGAGGTGCAATGAGATTCTTCTGGAAAACAAATGCCAAGTATGGGTTTATAATAATAATTATAATACAATAATAGCAGTAACCTTGGCTAGGATTTATTGGCTGTTTAAAATGTATTTTATAAGCATTAATTCATTAACTCCTCATAAAAATGCTAATACTAAGGAACGACCATTAGCTGGATTACACAGATAAGAAAACTCAGGCCTGTGGAGGGTAAGTAACTTTCCCAAATCACATAGTTAGTTAATGACTCAAACACAGGTCTGTTGACTCCAGAGCTTGATCTTAACCACTAGTCTTTACTGCTATATCCACAGCCCCATCAGCCAGCTCCTAACCTCTCGCCCTCCTGCCCTCTCTCCTCTGTACCTCGCCCAGCACGCTGCCTTCTCCCTACCTGGGTCCCTCCATCTCTTCACCTATCCTTTCAGGTCCTCCTAGACTGACCTCCTTTCTGAAGACTTCCCAGACTGCTCCCCTTTAGTATGACGCTCCCAGCACTTCCATATACCGTGCCCCACTGACTCTCTCCTGCCTGTGGCCATGGTACCTGAGACCCACTCTGCTGTGTCACACAAGTAGCTGTCTGGAGATTTTGCAAGATCTAAGTTAAATTCACGCCCAGGTTAAGATACCGCCCTAAGACACAACCAATCGCTGCTGAAAGCTGCCCTGTGTATCTATCGGGGTCCCAGAATCTGCGCCCTGCTGCTAGCCCTGGGTTAGGTATTGTAAAATGGGGACAATGGGAAGTTCAGCTGGGGAAAACCAAGCCCTGCTCTAACCAAGCACTCTTGACTTCTCTCAGTCACCTGGGGTCCGTGGTGCAGAGAAAAGGGTGGAGAGCTGAAGTCAGCTAAGAAACAATCGAGCTGTTTCTACAGGCAAGATGGTACAGCCTCTACCCTCAAGGCACCTAATGCCTGCTCAGGGATGCTGAGCCCCTGTAAGAGCATCTCCAGAGCAACTCACAAGTGAATGCAGATGTAGTACAAGGCACAGAGAAGAAAGATGCTGAGGGGGCGGGAAGTTAAAAGGAGTGCTCAGAATGCAGCAGGACCCTTCAGGGAAGTTTTCCGAGAGGTAGTGAGTAGATTTTATAAAAATTAAAAATAATGTTTTTTTGGCACAAATGCAATACATACCCATGACAAACAAATCAGAAAATACAGACAAGCACAGAAAGAAAATCTTTTAAAAACCCACCTACAATTTCACCCACCCAAAGACAACTTCTGTTAACACTCTCAGCACCTTGACAACCAGATTTTGCAGGAGGCAATGTGCAGAGCTGGGGCACAGGTTGTGTCTGTGTGTGTGTGCGTGTGTGTGTCTGTGTCTGTGTCTGAGGGGTATCGGGGAGGGGAGGGGAGTCCATGCTGGGGAGTAAGTGATAAGAAATCTATTTGATGAGATTGGGAAGTAGAGGGTGGAGGAAGAGGACCGACAGATCTCTCAGACCAGGCAGAGAGTTGAGGCAGGCAGCAGTAAGGAGCCTAGCTGAGTGACACGATGAAAATAATCATAATAGCAATAACAGTAAACATTTGTTGAGTGCTTACCGTGTGTGTGACACTGGGCTAAACACTTTACATTCCATTACCTTATTTAATCCTCACAACCACCCTCCAAAGTGAGTATTGTCCCCATTTGATAGAGGGTAGGGGCTTTGCCCAAGCGTGCCAATCCAGCACACTGCTGTTCCTCACAGTGTGGGCATAGGCTGCCTGCATCCAAAAGCCCTGAGGGGTTTGTTAGACTCATGGAGAAAATGGGAGGCAAAAAACCCCAGACCTGCTTGCCCCATGGCGAGGTCATTCGACTGAAGGTCATCTCCAGCCTGAAATGCTTCAGGTCAGAAAGTCACAAACAAGCATGCCCAGAGGATACCTGCAGACTGGGAAACACCCAGCGCTGTCTTCTGAGTAACCCGCAATCCCATTTCTTTCTAAAGATGCTCTGAGGATGACGGAGATGAGCAAGAGCCCAGCCCCGACCTGCAGCCTGTGGGCTCGCCACGCCTTCCTCGTCCTTGAGTTAATCATCCCACAGCCCAACAGCCGGGAGAGAGCCTTCAGCAGCAAGGTGTGCTGGCCGCAAAGGCAGCTCCAAGATAGCACAGGTCAGTCATTCCAAAGCACTGGAGGGGACAATCAGGGTCAAGAGGCAGAACCAGGACAGGGAGAGCAGGGTGATCAGGGATGGCTGGGGCCAAAGAGCCCACACCCTGATTCTATCCGCTTATAACTTCAGGACCTTAGCCAGGTGCCCTGGCCTCTCTGGGCCTCAGAACCCTTCCCTGCGAAACTAGGGAGTTGGCCCTCATGATCTCAAAGGTCCTTTCCCCTGTGGGTGGGAAGGTACTATCTAAATCCCAGCGGCATATGCTTCTGCAGCTCTTGTTTATCTCTGAGGCAAGTCCAGAGCTCAGGACTTCCGGTGCCACCTGGAGGGCTGTGGCAGACACAAGCTGACCGGAAGGGTGAGCTCTGCAGAGGAGGCTGGGGAACAGCCCTGGGCAGGATGCCAGCACCTCCCTGCATGCTGAATGACTCAAAGACCTTTCAGGCACATCACCCCGTTTCATCCTTCCCACCTCCTGGTGAGGCTGCTATTTATAGTGGACCCACATGTGACCACAAGACAGACAGACAGAATGCTTATAGGAATGGAAACGTATTTTTTAGAACACCCAGGAACTTGAGATAGGAAAGCGACAGCGGGGTCCCCAGGCTCTCAATCCCAGGCTGTGAGGCAGGTTTCACAAGTGACCGGAAAGTTTCCCAGGGGTGCTCAGGACCCACCTTCCTTCTCTTTGCCTCACTCTCATTGGTTGTCTGGCTGCCACTCAGCATGAAGCCAGCCTTCCTATTGGCCTGAGTTCTCTCCTGTCACCTGTGAGGTACCTGTGACAAGATAATTTGGGGATTAATTCATTCGCTGTATTTTTCCATTGCCTTCTCTTTCCAAGCAGGCACTGTCAGTCAGGCTTTTTGTTTTTCTTGCCTTAGGAATTCTTGCAGGACAGAAAGCAGAAGCAGCTTGAAGCTCACAGATCTTCCTGTCTGTGGTAAAAGTCTGGCTCATGAAGGAGCTGATGCAGATGCCCTGAGGAAAAAGGTGGAGGAGGGCTTTGAAGGGCCAGGAAAGAGAAAGGAGAGTGCTCAGAGACCAGGAAGACAGAAAAGACAGAAAACAGCGCTGATTATGAGAACTGTTAAAAAACAAATCAACTGAGTAAATTTGAAGGTCTAATTGGCTCTATTAAACGATTCACAAATTGGGCAGTATCCCGTCTAGCAAAGAGAAGGGAGCTCCAGGAGCTGTACAGAATGGAAAGTTTTTATTGGCAGAAGGGGGCCGAACAGAGGAAGTTATAAAAACAAAGAGTAGATTGTTTCAGACAAGGTCACCTTCCCTTAGGGGAAGGCAGGGGTCTTATCAGGCAGATTACTAGTGTGGACCAGGACATTCCAGACTGATTGGTTTAAAATTCCACTCCTGGGAGAGGCTGAAACTGCAATTAAGTCTTGGTTTGCTGATGTGGGGCTTAGCACGAGTGACTCCATTTTGGGCCTGATGTTTCCTTGGACCTGAACAGAAGGCATTGCAGGGTCCTGGGTAAGGGTCAGATCTCAGAGGACATTAGGGCTTAGGCATTGGGTTTCCAGCCTCACCAAGATTCCTGGGCCCCAAGTATGACTCAGAAACAGCAAAATCAACCAAACTGGAAGAGACCTGAAGCATCAGAGGAAAACTCAGTGTGGGCTGTTGGCTGATGAGTGGGTGGGACGCCTCTATACTTTTGGCCAGTTAGGCACAATCTTTCAGAAGGTTGAGCTCCCAGAATGACAGATTATCTGCCCACTGAACAGGATTAGGGACTCAGAGTCAGATTTCCTTTAATTAAAGGGAAAAAAGCAGAGGATACAATATTCCTAGCTCAGCCGGGTTGTCAAGTAAGAGTCACACCTGGCATGTATAGAAGCATGAATGGCCCCATTGTCCTGGTGTTACCAGCCTGTGAAGATACCAGTTACATCATCTTAATACCGATATTTTATTAGCTGTAAGCTCCCACCAGGTAATGTAGGAATTCCAGGCCCATGCTCTGTTGGTTAGGATGCTTTAGCCACAAGTAACAGAAAACCCAGATTCAAATATGTAAGGAAATAAATTATCTCACTAATGGGAATTCCAGAAGTAGTGGGTTCCAGGTGTTGTACAATGAGCGGCTCAAGGTGTCAAGGACCCAGCTTGTCTTTATGTCTCTGCTTTGCTGTCCTCAAGATATTGGCTTTGTCTCCCAGTTGGCTCCCTTTGTGGTAACAAGGCGCCTTCACTAGATGCAATAACATCCAAAGGAAGAAAAGGACGCTCTTCCCGTGTCTGCTTCTTAGAAGCATGGAAACTTCCCCAAAGTGCCCTGTAGAATTCCCTTTATGTCTCCTTGGCCGGAATTTCACGTATGCCTATTCTTAAACCAGTCTCTGGCAAGGGCAATGGGATGACTGCAGTCGGCTTGAAGGGAAGCTAAAGAGTCAACCATAAAGATCACTGATCAAGTCCTTCCCACCTCGCAAATGCAGCCTTGCTCACTGGGACACCTCCCCTCCCCATGGTTGAGTTTAGGGCCTCCTTCATTGATGTTAAATGCTGTCTCAGGGACCCCAGCCTCCCCTTCTATAGCCTGGAAGGCTCTCAGACTTACTTATCAATTTCTGAATCCAAAATGGGAATGCTGCTCAAGGCTTCTTTCCCAAGAGATTCTTCAGCAGAAACAGCTCCTGAGAGGACCATATGCCTGGGGAGAGGAGTGACCCATACTCCTCATGCCAGACAAATCTAACTTCAGCTCTGGCCCAGCCAAGACCTCCATTGTGTGGTTGCTTCCAGCTTGTGTCCCAGACCTCATCCTGTCTTCTGCCTCCAAGCGAGTAAAATTGGACCACCAGCAAAGCATGCTGCACAAGCCGTGGCAGCCACATTGGGAAAAGACCGGTTGTACTACTTTTCTCAGAAGGAGTCTGTGTATATAGCATCATGATTTCCCCTTCGGGTCATCCAGTATATTGATATTAACCCCATTTTACTTAAGAGGAAACTGAGGCACAGAGTGGTGAAGTCACATGCATAAGGTCATTCAGCTAGTTAAGCAGCAGAGCCAGGAACATTCTTGGACAAGTCTTTCTGTGGACATATGTTTTTATTTCTTCTGGACAAATGCCTAGAAATTTAACTGCTGGTTCACAGAGTAGGTGCGTGTCTAAGTATGAGAAGCTGCCAAACTGTTTTCCAAAATAGCGTCTGGGTGTTCCAGTGGCTCCACATCCTCAACAAGGCTTGGTGTTGGGTATCCTACATTTTAACTCAGCTCTGACACTATCTACCCGGACACTGCATCAGATCTCACAGGAAGGGATCAGTCCCACAAGACTGCCCCCCAGACCCCCTCACTTCAGATGCCAGCCAGCCACAAGCTCAGGTTATCACTTGTGCTTCTGACAGACCAGCTATAGATCAGAGGTTCCCCCGACCCCCTCCCCAGGTTTGATTAATTTGCTAGAGCCACTCACAGAACTCAGGGAAACACATACTTATGTTTACCAGTTTATTAAAGGACATGATAAAGGACACAGATGAACAGCCAGATGAAGAGATACACAGGGCAAGGTCTGGGAGGGTCCCGAGTGCAGGAGCTTCTGTCCCCGTGGGGTCGGGGTGTGTCAACCTCCTGGTGTGGACATGTTCCCCAACCTGGAAGCTCTCCCAACCCCTGTACGACCGGGGTTTTATGGCGGCTTCCTCACGGAGGCACGGTCAGTTATTACCTCCATTTCCAGCCCCTCTCCTGTCTCTGGAGGATGGGGTAGGGCTGAAAATTCCAAGCTTCTCACCATGGCTTGATCTTTCTGGGGACCAGCCCCCATCCAGAAGCCATCCAGGAGCCCACCCAGAGTCGCCTCATTAGAACAAAAGATGCTCCTAATGCTGTTATCACTTAGGAAGTTATAAGGGTTTTAGGAGTTCTGTGCCAGGAACCAGGGGCAGAGTAGGATTTTGCAGAGATGAAGGCAAGGTGCTCCAATCTGAGGGAACAAAATCAGCCCAGATGAAAAGGTTTTATGTGTAGGGGCGCAGTAGGGCATGAGGCTGGCAGGGTGAAGTGAGGCCAAATAGTGAAGGGTCCTGAATCCTAAGCTGAACACTTGGGACTTCTTTCCATCAGCAATGGAGAGATGCCAAAGGGTTTGAGCAGGGGAGTGAGGAAGTAACAGCTGGGGAGAAACGGTGACCACCTGGGGGGCCCTTGGTTAGGGTGAGTTAACTCCTCCCATCTGTATATTATGGAGTTTGCACCATGTGTTTTCTGAGGTCCCTTCCAGACTTGATTTTCTGTGACTCTTTCTTCCAAAAAGGGGATACTGAGGCAGGAGCAGCAGATGAATTGTTTTCAGCCTGTCAGGATCAGGGCAGAAGCTGCCAAATCCATAGTCCTTGGTTTTGACCCAACCGGTGGGTCAGATTTCCAGGGGAAGGGTGGGCATCAAAGGCCTAGTAGCCTGTGCAGGGGAGGTCTGAGGAAGTCGGAGAACAAGTGCCTCCTCCTTTCTCATGGAGAATCTGCATAGAAACAATAATTTTCCTAGAATTTTGAGTCCATACCTCCTAGGATTCTCCACCCAATTCCCATGTGTGTGGGGTTTTCCCATAAAAAGAAATGTCCCACAAGACTGTATCCCTCCCTACCTTCCCACTTCAGATGCCAATAGCGCGTCCAGATTGTTACCTGTACTTCTGGCTGTTACTGCACAAAATTGGGGTTCTCTTGCCCAATGCATATAAACAAGCCAATTAATTACAGCATCAGCCTTTGGGAAAAGAGACCAGCTTTATTCTGTGAGATCCATCTGCAGGGAGACAGAGGGTGTGTGCCCTCAGATCTGTCTCCCCAGTTTGGGATTTGGGGCAAAATTTAAGACATTAGGGAGAACAGGCTGGCACGTGGAAACACTCGTGGGACAGGTTTTGATGGGTGGGCTTCAAGCATTTGTGGTGAGGTTCTAAACATTTATGACAGCGTTCTAAACATTTATGATGAGGTTCTAAATTTTTATGATAAGGTGGGGAAGGACCTTTAACACTTTTAACCTGAGTGAGGGACCCCTCTCTGCTGATAATAGTGTGACTTATAAGTTCTGGTCTTGTCCCAGTCTGGTTCCGTGGGGAGAAGAATCTTTGGTTCCACAGTGAATTTCAGGTCAAGATTTCTTCTGTGCATGCTCTGGCTATGTGACTTTGCAAATTTTCTGAAAGGCAATTCTTAATCACTCTGTTAAGAGATGGAGTCAGTTGAACTGGTCCTGGAGGGCCCGCTGTTACATGACCAACTGGCTTAGATTGGAGATAATAGATAGATAATTTTAGATAGATTGGAAGTTCCAATGACCCCTTCCTTGGGTTCAATTAATTTGCTAGGGTGGCTCACAGAACTCAGAGAAACATTTTACGCACTAGATCATTGATGTATTATAAAAGGATACAACTCAGGAACAGCCAGATGGAAGAGATGCGTAGGGCAAGGTATGGGGAAAGCATGCGAAGCTTCCATGCCCTCCAAGCACACCACTCTGCCAGCACCTCCACATGCTCACCAACCCAGAAGCTCTCCAGAACCCCATCCTTTTGGTTTTTTATGGAGGCTTCGTTACAAAACCATGATTGATTAAATCATTGGCCATTGGACACTGAATTCAATCACTAGCCTCTCTCCCCTCTGCAGAGGTGGGGTGGGGGGTGGGGGGGACTAAAAGTACCAACCTTCTAATCACATGGTTGGTTCCCCTGGCAACTAGCCCTCATCCTTAGGTTACCCAAGAGCTTTCCAAAAGTCTCCTTATTAACATAACAAAGACACTTTTATTGTTCTCATCACAGGAAGTTGCAAGTGTTTTAGGATCTCTGCCAGAACCAGGACGAAGACCAAATATATATTTCTTATTATAAATCACAATAACACATCCACTTCAGAATAATTTCTCTGCTGGCATACCAGTCCCCTCCAACAACTCTCCTGTCACGAAAGAGAAGGATTCCTCCACATTTTGAGGCCTAATTCCTCCACCAAACTTTTGATCTCATCTCAATCTGGCTCCTCTGTTCCTTCCTTCTCCAACATTTCAAATCTTCCTTCTCCAGTGGCTCCTGCCCTTTCTTCAAACCCTCCTGCACTTAAAAAAAATCCCGAATTAAGTTCAAATGACCTTTAGCGCCCATTCCACCCCTGCCTTCCCCTTCCAGAATTCTCTCCAGTAATAATATAACTGCTGCTTTCCCTTCTCACACATCTATTCATTTATTAAATCCTTGCACTAGAGGATCCACCTTCTATCAGTTCCCAGGACTTCTCAAATATTATGAATAATCCCCCAATTTAGGGGCCAGTCCAGAGGCGCAGCGGTTAAGTTCACACGTTCCACTTCTTGGTGGCCCGGGGTTTGCCGGCCTGGATCCCAGGTGCGGACATGGCACTGCTTGGCACGCTATGCTGTGGTAGGCATCCCACGTATAAAATAGAGGAAGATGGGCATGGATGTTACCTCAGGGCCAGGCTTCCTCAGCAAAAAAAGAGGAGGACTGGCAGTAGTTAGCTCAGGGCTAATCTTCCTCAAAAAAATAAAAAACAACAAACCCCAATTTATCAGACCCAGTGCCCCATCAGCCCCCAGGTGCTCCTCTCTGGGGCTGTGTCCAGGTGACTTTCTCTGTCTCCTGGCAGACCTCTTTTCTGGTGACTCCCCTTGCACAGCCCGACTGCTGCTTCTCCTTCTTTTACGGCCTTCCCTACCATTGCTAGGTGGCCTCACAGACTAGAGGCCACCAGACAAATACCCCCAACTCTCCACTTGCAAAGCTGAAAAATTATTCATTTTTCTGGTTGAAATGGAAGATTTGTCTCTTCTCTGACCTGAACCAGTTCCTCCATCTGGAAGGGGATCCCATCCCCTCCTACCTCCTCAGGGATCTCTCCCTAATGATTAGCCTCACTTGTTCTTGAATCTTTAACCTCTCTTCTGCTGTTCTTTTTCAACATCATGAAAACATTCTTAAGTTTCCATCTCTTTAAAAAAAAAAAAAAAAAAGTCTTAGTTTCACTTCCTTTTACACCAACTTCACACTCAAACTTCCTGAAAGAATGTGTGTACCCCTCGTCTCCCCTTACACCCTTCCTGGTCACTCCTCAGTCCGCTGAAATGTGGCCTTTTTCCCCAATGTGTCAGTAAAAATAACCTCACCAAGGTTACCAATGACCTCCTTGCTGCTCAAATCCCTTAGACCCTTGTGGCCCCCTTGGCTTCTTCTCAACAGCAGTGACATTGTTCACCACTTCCTCCTCCTCCTGCCTCCCCTCCCCGTGACTGCTTCCTCTTGCCATTGACCAGCGTCTCTCCTCCTCTGCGGGGGCACTACTCCTGGGGATTCTGTCCTGGGCCACCTTCTTGTCTCACTTTCCCTAAGTGATTTCATCTACTCCTTCACTCCACAAATGTTTATTGAGCTTCCACTGTAAGTCAGGCATTGATCTAAGCCCTGAGGGTATAACAAGAAGACAGGCAAAGTCCCTGCTCTCATGGACTTGACACTTGCCAATGGTGTCAGTTCCACCTGGAAGCTGATGACACATAAATCTGTCTCCAGCCTAGATCCCTGTCTCTTTTGTCTACTTAGTCTGCGTGGCTATTGCACATCTCTCTCAAACTCAGTGTTTCCAAAGCTGAAATCTTTTACCCTCAGCCCACCTCCAGACCAGCTTCTCCTCCCATCTCAGTTACCCAAGCCAGAAAGTGCTCATCATCTTTAATTCTTTACTTTCCGTCTCCTCCTAAACCCAACCTGTAACCAAGTCCTGTCAATTACACCTTCTAATCCTCCGAAATACCTCTGGAATCCATCCACTGCTCGTTGTGCCCTCACTATCACCCTACTTCCGGCCACCATCCTCTCTCCCTTGATTCCTAACACGTTCCTCTAGTCTTGATCACTTCCACACCTCACCCCACCTTCAATACATTGTCCACACTGCAGCCAGAGTAATTTCCAATATGACTCTGATCACATGATCTCCCTGCTTAAGAGTCTTCATTGCCTTTAAAATCAAAGCCAACCCCTTCACCATGGCCCAGAGAGCCCCTGCTTACCTCTCAGTCTCGTCTCTCCCCACCACCCTCCTCACTCTCAACTCCTCTGCCACACTACACTTTCTTCTTTCGTGCCCTGGATGTGCTGTGCTCCCTCACACCTCCAAGCCTTCAGAAGAGCTGCTCCCTCAGCCTAGAACACTCTTCCTCACTCCTAACCCCAACTCCTTCACCCGGCTAACTCCTACTTACTCCAATCTGAGCTTCAATGTTGCTTCCAGAACATTTCCCCTAAAATCTCTAGTCTGTGGTTGTGCCACTCCTCTGTACTTCAGTGCCACCCTGTCCTGTCCACCCTATTATGATTGTCTGATTTCTTTTGTTATTCTCCAAACCCTTCCCTCCATCAGACTCTAAGCCACTGGAAGGCAGGGACAAGGTCTGTGTCACTCATGTTGTGTTGCTGTATTCCCAACCTTCAGAAAGTACCAATCAACATATATTTGTTGAATGAATGAATGGTTTCTCGCCCTCCTCCTCTTGCTCTCTAAATACAGACATGCTTAAGATCCAGGTTTCTTTCACCAGTTGAACTTTTCTCCATTTTCTTTATATTTCATGGATTCCTATGACTTCAATGATCAGGGCTGTGTGAAGAATTCTCCTATCTCCCTCCAGGCTGGGTATCTCTCAGCTCCAAGTCTGCATTTCCACCATCAGGCTAGACATTTATGCCTGTAGGTTTTTTCATCATCTCAGATAAAGGTATTAAACATGAAAAGGATGTAAAGATATATATTCAAGAATGTGCAATGCCACATTTTTTATAATATTGAAAAATTGTAAACAACCCAAGCACCCATCAAATTACAATAATACTATACAGCCTTAGAAAGACTAAAAAGATTTATATACTGACATGAAAAGATGTCTATGACATACTGTTAAGTAACAGTATGAAACTGAAAGCAGGTTTCAAAACTATAAATATAGTTTAGTTTCATCTTATTCAACCAGTCAATGTGCATTTATCGAGTGCGTAATAAGTGCCAGTTTCTTTTCCAGGAGCTGGGGATGTGCGGAGAAAAAGACAGAAAGTCCTTGTTCTCACAGAGCTTTCTAGACAGACAATATCAAATATATATATATATAAAATGAAACGTCAGATAAGTGCAATAAAGAACTAGAGTTATGAGATGTGCTGCTTTAGGTTGGGTGGTCAAAGGGAAGGCCCTTCTGAAATGGTGACAGTTGAGCAGAAACCTGAATAAAGCAAGGGCAGCAGTCTCGTGAGTATTAGGGAAGAGGACGTTCAGTCAGAAGGATCAGCCACTCCAAAGGCCTGCAGTAGTGGCAAGTGCAAGTGGCTCTAGAAGCAGCAAGGAGTTGGGTGCAGCTGGAGCAAAGGGAGGAGAGAGAGGTGGGACCTGGGGCCCCAGAGGCTGCCCAGGGCCAGGCGATGGTGAGGGCTCGGCTTCCATTCTAAGCATGATGAAGGGACGTTTTTGGAGGTGTGTCTGTTACAGCATGCTAGTGTTTCATTGCAAAAATATATATACCAAATATATATACCACGCTGTTATCAGAAAATATTTCCAGGGTGTAGGATTTCAGGAGACTTTCATTTTCAAAACCATACCCCTTAGTTGTGTTTGGTTTATAGCAAGCGTGCGTTAATTTGGTAATCAGGAAAAGAAATGATGGTTTAAAAAATTTGTGCAGGACTGGCCCCATGGCCTAGTGGTTAAGTTTGGCATGCTTCGCTTCAGTGTTCCGGGTTTGCGGGTTTGGATCCTGGGTGCAGACCTACACCACTCGTCAGCCATGCTGTGGCGGCAACCCATATATAAAATAGAGGAAGATTGGCACAGCTGCTAGCTCAGGGCTAATCTTCCTTGCCAAAAAAAAAAAGAAAAAAAAGGGCTAGCCTGGTAGTGTGGTGATTAAGTTCACATGCTCTGCTTTGGTGGCCTGGGGTTGTGTGTTCAGATCCTTGGCACAAACCTACACACTGCTCTTCAAGCCTTGCTGTAGTGGTGACCCACATAAAAAATAGAGGAAGATTGGCATAGATGTTAGCTCAGTGACAATCTTCTTCACACACACACAAAAAATTGTATATACCTTTTGACTCATCAAGTCCCTTTCAAGAAAAACATCCTTTAAAAAAATTGGTTAAGTTTGTAAAAATGCACGTATAACAATGTTCATTACAGTGTTATTTGTAGTACAAAAAAGTTAGAAATAAATGTTCAACAATAGGGAATTGATCCACTAAATTGTGGTTAAAGTATACAGTGAAATCGTATGGAGCACTGACAAACCATGTAGAATTTCACCCCAGGCTCAAAGCCTGCTTCTATTCCCAACTTCATGAAACTTTTTCTGGCCATTCCTGCCTAAAATGACCTCTTCCTCCTTGAAACCTAGTCGTGCCTGTTATCCTCTGGCTCTTAGCACATAGTACTCCATTATGGAACAGCTTTAGTTCACGCTTGGCTCGGGTGAGCTGTACTAACAGAAGGAGAGCAGAGCAGAACAATTCCAAACAATAGATGATTCATTCCTTTGTAAATGCATCACAGCATTTATTTTGCAATGGATTCACCTTCTAATTAGCTTTCCTATGTTAATATTGAAATTAATGAGCATTTCCAAGCACGCACACAGGCAGCAGAGGCAAGAGACCCAGAAGAAGACTACAGAGGGAGGGTTCCCCGGGGAACCCCAGGCCAATAATGAGCACTGGGGCCGTTCCCCTGCACAATCACACACCCCTTCTTCATCGAGAGCCGGGAATACCCTCTTCTCAGGCTTCTGTGCCCCTTGCCCTAGGCCCGAGGGGCTGGGCTCCCTGAGCTGGGTTCCAGCGCCTGTGTGCTCGCCTGTGTGCTGGCACTGCCTTGGGTCAGTGAAACAGCCGCACATGAGTCATTCAGGGGCCTCCTTCCTCCCCGTCTGGATCTGCTGCTGCTTGGTCTCCTGGCTGACTAGTCAGCTCCCACAGAGGCCAGGACACATTCCTTCCACCCACCTCACAGTGGCCTCCTCTGGAAGGGACAGACGTCACTGGGGAGAGAGAGGCCACACAAACCTACTTATCCCACAGCCATCCTAAAGGAAGTTTGTTTGTGTTACACAAGGGCTCATTGTGGGGCCTCTTCCCTGGGCAGCCCTGAGAGGCCAGCAGGGGGTCCTACTATGTGTGGCATTTGAGGGGGCCGGTGAATAACACCCCTCTTCCCTACCCAAGGCCTCTTCCAGCTGAGGACTTATGAGTTACAAACGAATTAACAAATATTCATTACTGATAAGCACTGACACTGGTGAATGTTCGGTCTTAGGGCAGCCTAATTCTGAAGCCCAGATAAGACCGAGCTGGCGCCCAGCCACAGGCAGTACCAGAGAAGACAGGTGTCCCCATAGTGGCAGGGCCACTTCACTGCACAGCAACGATGAAAGGCCAGTGCCTTAAAGGAAAAAGAGAGGAAGGGGCGGAATATACAGGTCCAATTTCTCCTTCTAAACTCACCCATCAGATTGAGCCACTCCTCCGGTCAGTAGGGACCAAGCAGGAATAGATGATGTCGACGAAAATAATCCATAACTAATCTATAAATGAAAATTTGGGAGAGTTTATTCTGAGCTGAAATCTGAGGACCACGGCCCGGGGCCTTTCTTCCCAAAGGAAGAAAGGGCACCACAGAAGTGAGGTATACAGAGTGGTTATATACCCCCAAACAGGACGTTTCCCATATGATTGAAATGTCCCTCCCACAATAGTCACAAGATTGCCCTGTCGGCACAGCACTTAATGTACACAGCAGGTAGTGGGTCTGCTATCTCAGAGGGTGTAGCAGGAGGCAAGTCTATCCTCTCAAGCTGGGTGGTCACAGGTGAGCGCAGCAGTCAGTTCCTAGCCTAAGGAAAGATGCTTAATCCTTAAGGAGACGCCAACGTTGGGAGGGGGAGGGAAGTTTCACCTTTATCTCAAGGGCCTTTGTTCTTGCCATAGGGAATATCTAAAGCAGATATACAATGCATGCTCAACAGCCGGGCCGAGGTCAGGCCCTTTTGGAAAGACAAGGTCAGGCCGAATTAGGTTTACACAAAATGGCTTCCTCATATACTCCAATATATCTTATTACTTGCCATTTTTATTTGTCAATGACACACTCAAACTGGTTGTTTGAGCAAAGTTTAATAAAGGAATTCTTTACAGAAGTGTGGACGGGGCATGGGAATCCTCAAAGGATAGAGCAACATCCCAGAGCTGAAATGGAGACAGAGGAGGCCATGACTGGAACCTGGAGGGAGAGGGCTGGTAGGGGGAGCAGTCGGACAGGAAGCGTTGCCCCCAGTGGAGGGCAGGACGGCTGCCAGCCCACCACCACCCTGTGGCCACCCTGCCCAAAGGGAGTGAGGGGTCATACCCTCCCGCCCACCAGTGTCTAGCACAATTAGAAGCCAGAGGATAAGGGATCTCATTAAGGTAATCCCTCTGGTGGCCTCCAGGCACAGAGCAGGGTGAATTAGGGGTGAAGGGAAGACTCCTTCCTCCCCCAGGGATTTGGGACTATGGGCAGAGAGAGGCCCGGAGGGCTCCCTGAGGAGAGTTCCCCCGCCCTGGGGAAGAAACAGCAGACGGAAGAGGCAGTCCTTCGTAATGGTCCACACCTGCCAAAGGGCTTTGGGGAGGTTTACACATGCAGAGAATGAGGGGTCTGGGCTGGCTCCTGTCTCCTGACTCCCACGTGCCTAGACGGTTACTCTATTAAACGTCTCCTTACTGATACAAAAGTGGATTGATGGGTGCCCCTCTTCAGCTCGCTCTGCACTAGCTCACCAATTCTTGTTAGGAAAAAAAAGACAAACAGAAAAAAATATTTGGGTTTGGGATTTTTTTTTTCCTTTGAAAATTCCCAGAGGAAAAAATCTATTGTTAAAATAAATCTTTTTCCTTCGCTTCTCTCCCTCTCTCGCCCTCCTTTCCTTCCTCCCATCCCCACCTCTCTTTCTTCACCTCACATTTCAGCTCCAAGTCCGCTCCCTCCTCTCCTGGATTCCACACCTCCCCATCCAGACAGGAGGTGGGAATGGTTCTAGAAGGAGATGAGGTGCTATAATGCCTTCAGATGCCTGAGGTCTCAGACAGACCCAAGGAACTAGCACTCTTGTCCCTTGTCACCCAGCTTCAGCACCATCCCATGGTCCCAACTCCCTCTGATTAGAAAGAATTCAAATTTCTTTCAAACTCTTTGGAAAGCAGAGTTCACAGCCCTACTGACCGAGGTGGTCACGATCAGTCCCTTCCAGGAACCAAGATGGTGCCTTTCACAGTGGGATCTGGGATGTCAGAGCTAAAAGGAAAAGTCCTTTTAGAGTCCCTTTGTTCAGTTAGACAAAGATTTAGGTGCCAGGCTCCACACCTGGGCAGGAACCCAAAGGTGGGAGGCCCTCATCCCTGCTCTTGGGGAGTTCACAGTCTGGCTTCTCACAGCTAAAGATTTCTAGAACACACTTGGTCACTGGCCCAGCAGAATGAGGCCACCTGTTGGAGATGGTCCCCTTCCTGCCTCAGCCTCCGAAAGAAAAGGCAATTCTGTTTCCTCTCAGAGCCATCAGGGTTCTGAGTGGGAAGGTCCTTAGACATTCCTGTAGCAGAGATGGAAACTGAGGCCCAGAAAGGAGAACTGTCCTGAGCAGGTCACATAGCTGGTGGCTGTGTTGGGCTTGGGCCTGTTTCCTGTTCCCCACATCACCCTGCCTCCTGGGCATTCCTTTGAGCTGATGAGTCAGGCAGAATCCACGACAGCCGGCTGCTTCAGGGTTTGTCCAGATTGTTCCCTCCTCCTGGGAGTTGTCCAGACAAGTGTCCCAGCATGCCGAGAGGCTCACCTCCCCGCTTAGAAGGACAGGAGTTCTCTGCCAGGATCAGAGCCAAAGGAACGCAGTCAAGTTAGCACTGATCCCCTCGGGCTCTCTGCACAGGTTATTAACGCAATTGTCTCCTGCCCCTATGCCCAGAGCCCTCCACGTGCCCAAGGGTCTGTGCTTGAGAGCATGGATTCTCCGCCCTTGAAAATCATCCAGTCCAGAGTTTTCAAAATGGTTTCCCAATCCTTTAACTAGGTGGCAAAATCTAATTTTTTAAAGGAAAGAAAAGAGCAGAAAATATCAGAGTACATCATATTTGTGGTAGGCAGAATTCTCAGATGACCTCCAAATGACCTTATATAATCTCCCCTTGAGTGTGGGCAGGAATGTGTGAATATGATGGGATATCACTCACAAGATTATGATAGTTATATAGCAGAGAAAGAGATTTTGCAGAAGTAATTAGGGTCCATTATCAGTTGACTTTGAGATTAATCAAGAGAGATTACCGTGGGTGGGCCTGATCTAATCAGGTAAACCCTCTAAAAGAGACTTCTCCTGCTGTCTTGAAGAAGAAAGCTGCCATGAATTCCACAGCTGCAAGGAAATGAATTCTGCCAACAACCATGTAAGCTTGGAAGAGGACCCCCAGCTTCTGAGAAGATGGCAGCCCAGCTGACTCCTTGACTGAAGCCTTGTGAGACCTTGAGCAGAGCATCCAACTAAGCAGTTCCTGGACTCTGACCCGTGAAAAGCATTGTTCTAAACCGCTAAGATTGTGGTAATTTGTCCACAGCAATAGAAAACGAATACAATACTCCAATAGTAAGGATAAGTATTATATTACGAAACTTTTCAGTTCTGTATATAGATACGTAAGTAATAGACCATGGTGTTAAGTGCATTTTTCGTTTTGAATGTGATCAAATCTTTGAAAGCCACAGTTGCAGAGCGATTTATCCAAAGTCAAGCAGCCATTCACGAAAGAATCAAAACTGGAGTCTGAGCCTCCCTGGTCGCTGCTCCCTCTGTCAGCCCACACGGCTCGCCCTGTTGGGAAACATTAATTCTATTTTTGAGAAGAGAGAGAGTGGAGAGGAGATGGTTTATCCTGGTCAAGTTGGCTCTTCATACAAGTCAGTTTGTCTTGGAACATCCTTCTTCGGCCAGATTAACTATCCCCCCTTCAGGGTCCAACTCACTATATGTTATTACTATGGGTTAAGTGCTTTACATAAATGATCTTGATTAATCCACACATTAGCCAAAGGAAGTAAACATTAATACCTCCATTTTCCAGATGAGAAAAGTGAAGCTGAGAAGTTAAGCAAAGCTTCCCAAAGACACAGAGCCGCTAAGTGGTAAACCCAGTATTCTAACTCATGTCTCCCTAATTCCAGTGTCTGAGCCTTCACAACACTTCTGACACCAAATATGTGGATTTTCCACATCAAGCAATTCTCCAATCCTCTGGAGACACCAACTGGGTATCTTACAATTTAATACGATTCTGATACTAACTACCCAGGTTAGGGGCTCAGTTCCACAAGACTGACTCTCCTCCACCCCACTTCAGATGCCAACTGCAAGTAGTGGGTCCCCAGATGACCCACACTTCTGCCCAACTGGTGATCAACTCAATTTCCAGCCCTCCTCCATCCCCAGGAGGTCCAGGGGTGCGGCTGAAAGTTCCAACCCTCTAATCACATGGTCGCTTGCTCCGGCAACCTCATTAGCATAAACTCAGGTGTGGTTGAAAGGGGCTTATCATAAATAACAAAAGATGCTCCTCTCCCCCATGCTCAGAAAATTACAAGAGCTTTAGGAGCTCTGTGCCAGGAGCCAGGATGAAGACCAAATACATATTTCTTATATCACAATATCATAGCACTTAACTAGTAAGTGTATTGCTCCCCACTTAAAATTTCTGTACACAGAAATTTAATTGGCTCAGACTTTGTGGCTGGGAGATGTCTTGGATTTTTTGAGAAGCTACTTATCAATAGTAATATATACCTAACATTTACTGAGCACTTACTGTGGGCCAAGCACTGTGCAAGGCACTGTACGTTCATCATCTCATTAAATCTTCATGACTCTATGAAGTAAATCCTATCATTAGCCACAATTTACAGATAACAAAACTGAGACTCAGAGGGGTGCCGTCAAGAAATAACTTATTGGGGGTTATGCTAGGAATGCAAGGATAATTCACTATTAAGTAACCCATTAATATAATTCACATTAATGGCTCTAAGGAGAAAAATCGTATGATTTCACCTTACATGATGATAAAGCCCTTGACAAAATTTTTAAAACGGTACAACCACTTTGGAAAACAGTTCGGCAGTTCCTCAAAAGGCTAAACACAAAGTTACCATATGAGCCAGTAATTCCACTCTTAGGTATAAACCCAAGAGAAATCAAAATGTATGTCCACATAGAAACTCACACAAAGATGTTCACAGAAGTATCATTCATAATAGCCAAAAAGTGGAAATGACCTAAATGTCCACCAAGAAATGAATGGATAAACAAAATGCGACACAGCCATGCAATGGATTATTATTTGTACATAAAAAGGAATGAAGTTCTGACACATGCTACAACATAGGTGAACCTTGAAAACATTACGCTAAGCGAAAGAAGCCAGGCAGAAAAGACTACGTCTTCTATGGTTCCCTTTATATGAAATGTCCCGAGTAGACAAATTCGTACAGACAGAGATATTAGTGGTTGCCCAAGGCTGGGGCAGGGTTGGGGGTTGCAGTAGGAATGGGGAACGA